ACTGGAAAAAAACATGATAGCGTTAGTAGAAATGACCAATGATGAAAAACATTATCAATTTAAAAACTAAATAAACTAATATGAGAGTTACAAAATAAAATTAAGCAGGAAATAAACTTCAGAAACTATTGCTACAATTAAGCCTATGAGATGTCATTGCGACAGTCTAATACTATATGAGCTTTTTTTATAGTCAACCAGCTCTGCTTTGTCACATGGTTGATATCATGAGTGAGTGGAAAATTACTGTCATTCAACGGACCATGCGGCTTCCGCATCCAACGCCACACTACGCATAATGATAATCCAAGGTTACGTAACTACCCCGCTTCTCGTCCTAGCCGTTATAATCTTTTCAAACCATAAAACAACTCAAACATCATTAGCCATGAACAAAATCAAATGAAGGGCAAATTCGTATTTTCATCTCTCATCTTCTTCACTGTAGTTTTCCTTTGAAACGAACAAAACCCAAAAACTCCAAAACAAACTCATCACTCAGACTCACTCACTCGTCTCTCTCTCTCTCTACGGTTTTGGTTTGGGGGACTCAATTGGAGTGTTTAATCATATGGCGTCGTCGTCCTCGGATCCCGGTCCGAAGACCGAAAGCGGAAGCGGGGGCGGCAGTGGCGGTGGAGGAGTAGAGGCGTCGGAGGCGGTTATAGCGAGCGATCAGCTAATGGTGTACAGAGGGGTGAAGAAATCGAAGAAAGAGAGAGGATGTACAGCGAAAGAGCGCATCAGCAAAATGCCTCCGTGTGCTGCTGGAAAACGGAGCTCCATTTACCGTGGAGTCACTCGGTATGTAATTAAGCTCCTCTACTCTTTCTCTTTCTCTTTCCCTTTCTGTTTGGTTACTGAGAAAATAGCCCTGATTTAGCAAATAAGTTATTATTATAATTGGGAATTGTTTTGATTAATTCATATGTTTATTAAATTTGAAAATTAAAAATTGAAAAGGATGAACTTTGATTTGGTTGTGTAAATGTAGGCATAGATGGACAGGTCGTTATGAGGCTCATCTTTGGGATAAAAGTACCTGGAATCACAACCAGAATAAGAAGGGAAAGCAAGGTCTCTCTTTTCTTCTCTCTCTCATTACTTATCTCTCTCTCTCTCTCTCTCTCTCTCCCCCCCCCTCCTTTTTGTTAGCGTATAAATGTTGTATACATGTATAATTGCTGACTAGCATTTGATTTCTTGGACTGTGCATGGCAATGTTGGCGCATGATGATTCGATATATATTCCAGTTTACTTGGGTAAGTTGGGGGCTTCAGTTTTTCATAGATTACTTAAGAAATTACCAATTTCTTGTGTAAGCTATCGGTTTAATTCTTAATCCTTGAGTATCATGTGGAATTTATAGGGGCGTATGATGATGAAGAGGCTGCAGCTAGAGCTTATGATCTTGCTGCCTTGAAATACTGGGGTCCTGGCACTCTCATCAATTTTCCTGTGAGATTATTGTCATTGATTTGCTGATTACATTGAAATTTCTTCCATTTTTGGTAATTGCGTATACCATAAGTAAGAAAACGCACTTGAATTTTTCAAATCAGCATCTCGGTTCTTCATGCCAATATGTAAATATTTTCGAGTTGTCAACTACAGTATGCCATTTGTTCAAGTTAGCTCTTTCTTCAATTGTTGCAGGTTACTGATTACACAAGGGATCTTGAAGAGATGCAGATTGTGTCAAGGGAGGAATACCTTGCTTCTCTTCGAAGGTGTGTATAGATTTTTACACATTTTTTAAAAAGAAAATTTGAAAATACATATTTGAATCTGGAAACTTTGCACATTTTTAATTGTAATCTCCTCCTGCAGAAAGAGCAGTGGTTTCTCAAGAGGAATTTCCAAATTTCGTGGGCTTTCTAGGTATGCTTTACCTTTAAATGTTACTTTTATGCACAATATATGAGGTTCGTTTCTCATAAGACTTCTTGGCACATTATGTTATTCCTTAAGGATGCTCATTTATATCTTTTGAGATTACACTTTGTTTGTTAGGCCAGTAGAGTCTTTTTATTCTGTTTTTTACGTGTCAACTATCCCAATCTCAGTTGTGGATAGAAGTAAAAAGCTTGTTTTATATAATATCTTGTCACTAGAATTCTACATGGAAAGTTATATATCATTCAAACTCATTGAGTAATACATCGAGAAACTCAATCTGCAAGAGTTTTAATAATATAATGTACTTTTTATTTTCTTATATATCGTGTTCTTGGTTGTTAAGGTTTACAGTCCCCATTTTGAGCCAAACAAACCATAGAAAACTTAACCATACAATGCATTGTATCACTATGGCATCAATTTCTTGTGTTGTTGATTTGCAGCATGTCGAGGCAAAAAATGTCTCCAAATTCTGTGTAATGCCAGTAATTCATATTGTGTTTCTTCATTCCGTTCTGAATTTTTATTCTTTGTACACATAACAGTCGTTGGGAGCCGTCATTGGGTCGTATGGGTGGATCTGAGTACTTCAATAGCACACATTATGGTAAGTCCTCAACCGATGCTGAACTGAAGCAATATTTTGGATAAGAGGGCTCTGAAAAATCAGTCTCCTCGATCTGAAATCTTCTTCAAAACAAAGTTGCAGATGGAGGCTTTTGAATTTATTATATTCCTTTATCTGGATTACTACCTGAATCAGTGCCACTTTCCGTCTTATACAACTTAAACGTGCAGGCGTTGATCCAGCAACAGAAAGTGAAATTTTGGGAGCTCTTTGCATTGAAAGAAAGATTGACCTAACGAGTTACATCAAGTGGTGGGGACCCAACAGATCTCGACAAGCTGAAACTAGCATGAAATTTTCAGAAGAAACAAAACATGGTTGTGTTGGAGATTTTGGAGTTGAGCTTAAAACATTAGAATGGGGAATCCAGCCTACTGAACCATACCAGATGCCCCGTTTGGGCATCTCTCGTGTAAGTAAAAAGCATAAAGGTACCAGAGTCTCTGCCATGAGCATCCTCTCACGGTCAGCTGCCTATAAGAACTTGCAAGAGAAAGCATCACAAAAGGAGGAAAACAATGCAGATAATGATGAGAATGAAAACAAAAATATCATCCACAAGATGGACTATGGCAAGGCAATTGAGAAATCCACAAGTCATGACGAAAGACTTAGTTCTGTATTAGGAATGAGTGGTGGAATGTCTCTCCAAACGGACGTGTTCCCGTTGGCTCCCTTCTTATCTGCACCACTTCTGACCAACTACAATGCCGTTGATCCCTTGGTAGACCCCATTCTTTGGACGTCTCTTGCTCCAGTTCTCCCTTCTGGAATTTCTCGCACGACTGAGGTTGGTATTTTCATTTCAAGAATCTCTCTCCTTTTGTTTTCCGTGTTCTGAATCTTCTGATTCCATGAGAAATAATAAGCTAATACTTAGCTTGCTTCATATGGTAATGCAGATTACAAAGACAGAGACAAGTCCAACTTTCACTTTATTTCAGCCTGAAGAATGATGTTGCATTTCCTTTTGTTCCACAAGTTGGTGAAGTTCATGCTAACAGTTGCTTGACAACCTCTATTCAGAAGGTTTTACCTATGGATTACATGCTACAGACACAGGAAAGACAAGTGTGTGAACCCTTTGATGTGGAAAGTACGTAAACATTTGATGTGGCCTTGACAACGAAGAGGTTTGTACTGCATGGGGTGTAGAATATATAGAAAGGGAGTGCATTACTTGTTCTGAAGGGTTTTGGAGTGCTGGTCCTTTAGTTTTTCTGTATAAGTTCAAGACATCAGTTCCGGATTTGGATATTTTGTACAGAAAATATGGTTATTTATATAAATGCATACATTTGAATCACTGTGGTTTCAAATGAATGCCTCTCTTGGTTTGTTTTTTTACTAGATATTACCCCTAGTCACTTTTTTTTTCCCTTCCCATGTCAATGATGGTAATGGTAATTATAACTTTTGTAGTAGGAGAAACTCTGCATGGTTTTGCATCTAGGTCTGGGTAACGGTAATTGTTTCCTTGTAGTAGGAGAAAATGCTCCTTTTACTTTGTTGTTTGAAACCGTTTCACATAAGTTTCCCTCGCATGTATAGTTTCTTTGGCTCTCGGAATCGGTTTGTGAGGATCTCTTAATAAAGTATTTGAGCTCTTTGTGTGCCCCCAGTTTTGTCAGGTTTTGGATTTCTTTGAGCTTGATTATCTCTGTTTGTTGTATACGTTATTTTTGTTGTATACTCTTCTCCATCTATCTTCAAGCTGGACACAATTTTTTCACTTCCTCGTCCAAAGCTCGTTAAATATAGTTAGTTATCCGTTACAATCTAATCCTAGTATACTCACCGAGCCCAAAACCTGCGATGAGAGTTATGGAATGCTTTCAACAAGAAAACTCTAAGTTAAACTCGACAATGCAAGTATGGAAAATGGCTGCTTCTTTTGTAGATTGACAGGGATCCAACCCTAACCCTAATCTTAATCCATTCAACATATAAATGGCCTCTGTGGTGCACAACCGGTCAAGGCCCAGCACTCCGTTAGTCTGTCCTACGCTGCCACTATGCTAGCACTCCGTTAGTCTGTCCTACATCGCCACTAATCTCCAATACGCGTATTTTGTTGGTAAAAACTTGTATAATTAGACTTTATTGCTTAATTTGATAGATTTAGTAATTCAATCTATGTTAATATAAGTTGATCGATATGATCCTTGCCTTGAGGGTCGAGGCATTCAACATTCAGCACTGGCTTGGTTCTTTTCTTGTTTGTTCTTACAAGGTTGAGCTCCAATTACTACCGGTTTATATCAACCATGCACCACGGAAGAAGGAAGAAAGACTGTTCAAGCCATGAAACTTGTATTTCGAAAATCAAATCTCCATACAAAGGCAGGGCTTTGAATTAAAGCTACAATATTCAGATTTTTCATTCCTACTTCCGTGACCAAACAACCGAATACACAACATTGCATCAGTTGGTCAATAGCTAGAGAAACGTCAGTCATAACCACTATAATGTGCGTAGAACAAAAGAATCAAACCTTTCAATACTATTAACTACATGATCACGACCATAGAGTTTTGGATCAATGAAAAGCATCAACCGAGTTCTGCTCAAACAGCAAAAAGCAAAAAGCAAAATTCTCAATCAACAACAAACCAAGAAACACATCAACCGAGTTCTGCTCAAACAGAAAAAAGCAAAACATCTAGAGATACTATGACTACCATCAATTTCAAGTTGAATTGATGCTCCGTTGCATGAGAAACATTTAGGAGATTGAAGGGGAATCAATCCAGTGGAAATTATGGTGTGTTTGTCAACTTGAAGTCACAGTCCTCCCAAATGAAAAGGGAATCAGCGTAGCCATTTGGTGACTTTGGAGTCTTGCAAGGAGGTGGAGAGTCAAGGTTGTCAGACAACCAGGGGTTTCGATCCTCAGGTATCTCTTCCAAATCCCAATTCCTCGGACTCTTGGGCTGAAAACAAAGATAAAAAACAGGGGTTGTTACCAAAAATCCATACTGACAAAATAACTGCAGAAAAAAAGTATTCTTCTTTGAAATGAAATCCGAAGTTTACCTCAGATTTACTTGGCAGTGAAGGCACACATGGAGATGTACGCTCCTTGGAAGAATCTGAACAAAAATGGATGATCTGGTAAGTTAAAATACCCAGGAAAATCATCAATTTCAAAAAACTCAACTATTTAAAAAAATATAATACCGGTATCTACTCCAAGTGCCATCAGAAACTGATGAAACTGCCGAATCTCATCCATGTCTTGTGCTTTCAGGCACTCCTGATGGTTGTGCAGAAACCCTTCCTCTGCAATGTTATCAGGACAAACAGGCTGCTTTGTCACAACCCTCTGCTTTGTGTTGTTCTTCACCAGTGCATCCCGTGTGTTTGATATATCACGTAAAGCATTCCTGCAACGGGTCTGAACTTTATCTGAGGCTTTAGACAAGCCTTTGTTATTGCTTGCATCACCACAAATGGTTACCTTGGAAGACTGCTTTTTTGATGCCTGAGTCAGAGCCGCAGGCTTCCCTGAATTCGATAGATCACCAAGTGGTTTCCTTCCACCAAGCCCCCCTTTCCTTTGCGCTTTGAAGGCATCACCTGTTCCCACAAGAGAATCTCCTGCCATACATAAAATTACAAGGGTTAGACTAAAACAGCCCAACAAGAACCTTAGACATAAAAAGAAAAGCATAAGTAGATTCGATCATTAGCATTACCCTTAGAACGAACACTCAGATTCTGATCTTGGAACAAAGTACCAAGCGTTGACGCCATTGCCGCTTTTTTAGTAGCCAATTCGGTTTAATCTTCTGCTAGCTGTAGAAACAATCCAAGGGGAGAAAAGAAAAATGGAAAGTAAGGATGCGATATGATTCGAAACATGCAACCCAGAAAACAAGATACAAAGTACAATGCAGACACGCCCATTTATAGTGCATCATGAAATTATGATCATCGACTACATGGCCAAAATTAGTGCTTGAAAGCGAAAAATTACCCGAAATTAACCTACGAGATTTTTACAAAAGACCCAAGAAATTAGACCCAAGGACTAGGAATCCACAACCCCATGGCCCAAAACAAGACTACATTTCTGAGTTATCTTGATGCTAATAGTCAATTGTCAATCCCCTTTACCAATCACCACCGAATCCCTAAAATCCTCCTGAGTCCTTACTCAGGATTATGCATCCGCCCCAAAATTGGGGGTTTTTAAGGATTAAACAGAGATAAATAAAGAAAGATTCAACTGAACTCATATGTAAAATGAACCCTAATTAGAACCCAAAATCGATAACAGAAACCCGAAGTTAGTTTTTAATTGGGACCCTAATTCAACCAAAATTAATAAAAGAAATCGGAGATTAAAAGAAAAAGGAAGTAATTACCTGTGACGGGATGGATTGAAAGAAAAAATGGGAGCGCAGATTACAAGTTGCTTAGTAGAACAGCGTCGGAGAGAGAGAGAGAGATGAGAATTACAGAGGTGAGAAATGTTTTTTGAAATTAGGGGAATGGAGACGTTATGGGATTCCAACGGTAACTTGGTGTGCTTTTACAATGATACCCCTCATTTGGAAGTCTATCTACCTAAATGACATAACCGTGCTTATCCGTTGGATCTTAGACACTTTGAATCCCCACCGTCGTTTTCCAGTTTTTCTCCGATGTCGTCACTACTTCCATTTCATCTATTCTGATGGTATACGCTATGGCATAGCGGGAATAATTCAGATTTGAATCCAAATCCAGATCCAAATTGTAAGAATCATAAGCATCCTCACATTCTAATTATTTACCGTACATCGTACGATAAAATATTATTTTAAAATTAAATATAAATAATATCTAATAAAAATTAATTTTGTCTGATGTAGTTCCACTCTTATCACATCACTTTTTATCACAGCCTACTAAATTGGGACCCGCAAATTTGGTCTTACTCGTGCCACATCATCTTTCTGTCACAATTGGGCCTACTAAACTGGGACCCGCAAGTTTGGTCCTACTTCCATCTTTAAATTTTGGTTTAAATGTCTTTATTTTATTTGGAACATGACATCACGTAACGGTTATCTGTTTCATGTAAACTATTTTTTTTATTAGAGGTATGGCGCAAATATGATTTATCAAATATGTTTTTCTTAATATTTTCTTAATAAAGAAAAATATACAAAGTTTGTGTGCTTATGTAGAAGGACTTTTATGATATTGATCGTAACTTCTCGTGCCTGATGCTATAAAGGGAAATGTTTAATTTTTTATATGACATTGTATCCTTAACACAAGATATTATCATAATTATGTACTTATGTCATGTAACTTACTCTCATGTTTATAATAAAGAATGAACCCAATGAGCCCCACTTTGTCATGGTGAAGATTTTCATCTCACTTACTAGGCAATGAAGCTAAAACAATAATATGTGTTGAATAATAAAATACATAACAATTTCACCGTCATCGTAATATTCTAGCTAATAATACAAGATTATATATTAGCTTATTTCAATATAACATTACATGATTAGATCAAAACATTGTAATCATGATGAAGTTGTTCGATATAAATTATTCTTGTTACACCGTCCAACATTATCTCTTTATGTCGCGGATAATATATTACCCTGAACGGATATTATACGTATTTTCAACAGGAGAACTGATTGGGAACGGAAAGACACCAAAACACAAAGGCACAATTTCCCACCAACTCCACTATTTCCCATCCCTCGGACCAACTCCAATGGTTAGGCTAAAAGCCAAATTTTTTAGCCCAGAAACAGTTTTTCTGCTCCAACCGTTCTAGGCTAAAATTTTAGCCCGGAATTATTAAAGAATGAATTTAGCCTTTTTTTTTTCTTAAATTAAATTTAATATATATATATATATAGACAATCGTAAATTAATTTTATGAACATTTTAATCTAAAAATATTTAAATTCCGATAAATATTGAAAAAAAAAATTTGTGTGAATGTTTGAACAAATACATAGGTATTTATAGAGTTTTTGGGTGAATTTTGAGTTAAATAATTTTTTTTTAATTATTTTAGCCGTTGGATTTAAATTTGGGCTGTTAGATCTTTTTTTTTTTACCTTTAGATTTCATTTATATTCGATCTCAGCTGTTTGATTCAATGTATTTTAAAATAACATATTCTAAAAAAATAATTTTGAATCTGGATCGTTGGATCAACCAATGGTCCTTAAACCCTAGCCATTGGATGTCAATTATAGCCGTTGGGATGATGATGATGGCCGACAACCAGTTGACTGCGGGGCCCACCCCTGTCGGGAAAGCATTGCAGGCCCAGTGCGTGGGGCGTGTGCATGTGTGGGCGGGCCGAGAGTGGCCCAAGTTTCAACGAGTCCACTCGCATCGGGAGGGGGGAATTTGGGGAGGTATTTGGCCTAGCTTTGGCATTTGGCTTGGTTGAAGTGGGTTTTGGGGGGGGGGAGGAATTTGGATTTTAGCCCATTGTTGGAGATGGTCTCAAAACAACCAATTATTTTTAATTATTTTATAAAATAAAAAATTCCCTCCTTTTACGATTTCTTTTTAATTTTTTTTTTTATATTTTCCTTCACTTTTCCATCACTTCTTTTACTTATACACAAGCATTTCCCAGTTGCCACCTCCTCCGTTGTAGTCAGCAGCCCCCTTTCTCTCTACTTCCCTCTCCCTAAACTCTGAAAGGCAGGGAGAGAAAGCGGAAAGCGAAGAGGAAAACCGAATTGCTTGCTGCTCAGTCTCTGTATCGTTGCGAGCTGCAGGGTTTGGACTTTGTAGCGGAGATGGGAACCGGATGGAGGCAGTTGAAGGTTATGCTATGGAAGAATTGACTTCTCAAAGTTCGTCACCCTTTCGTCACCTGCGCCGAGGTCTCTCTCTCTCTCTCTCTCTCTCTCTCCTCATTTCCTTTGTAGTTTTGATCTTAATTTGTTTGCCAATGTTTACAGTCTTAATTTTTCTTCTACTCTTTTACGTGATCATCAGAAATTTGTAGTTTTTTGCCTGTTTTTGTTTGATTTTAGTGCGTAATTCGGTCAGGAATTCGTAATTTTGTTTGTTTTTTTTATAATTGCTCAGTAATTATAGCAGCATTTGTTCAGTAATTAATTGCTTAGTTATTTATTTATTTATAATTTTTTGTTTTGGCGACATTTGTTTTCCTATTTTTAGGATAACTTTTAAATTAGAGTTGCGCAGAAAATTTCTAAATTAGGTGGACAGATGTAAGCATGTTGATATGGTTGTATGGGAAGACGACGACTTGAAAGCATAGGATTTGAAATAAAGTTAGAAGGTTAAATTAGCACATATTACGATAGAATGATCTGACTATGCTGGGTTCTGTGTTCGTCAGATGCACCGTTTAGCAGAGTGACTTAATGAGCAGAGAGCTAGTGCCAGTGGAAAAGAAGACAAGAAAGAACAAAAATAGCGTGAGGTTGGAGGACTAGGATTCATGTTCTAGTCCACCTCAAAATAGTAGGGATCAAGCTATGTTATAGTAAATTGTTGTCGTTGTAGTTTTTTTGTTGTTGTTTGTTTCCTTTGTTCTTCTATACTTCCTTAATTTTAATTTCAAAACTAAATGATGAAATTTTATTCTTTTACTTTTGAACTTTGGTTGCAAAGTGGCAGTTTTTCTTGACGTGTTATCATAATTGTTCCAATTTGAATAATTTCTTTTATATTTATCACTCCTTCATTTTTTGGATAATATTTGTGTATAACACCTGATGAAATCAATCTGAAAATTCCTAATGATTTTCTGCCAGATATTACTGCCTACAGTGGTAATGTTGTTGTTAATAGCTGTGAGGATGCGTGTTGATACACAGATTCATCCAGCGCACCCGTAAGTGTTGACAAACTCTGGCTAATTCTTGTATTGTGTTTATGTTTGAATAGTGTCTACGCTTGCATGTCGTGTGTGTGTTGCGTGCAGGTATGTGCTTGTTACCTGATTCTAGGTATATTTTAAGGGATGTTTTACTTTAAGCAATATTCCCTCAATATTTAATATGTTCAAGGAAAATAAGGGGAAAAAATGAAATGAAAAATCCACATGGATGTTTTTTATAGAGTCTCTTTTTTTTGTGAGAAGTCTTGTTGCTAAGTTTTACAAGACTTAACCGGGTATATCTGGAATGGGATGTTTATGGAAGTGGGCAAAGGAATATCACCTAATTTTGAACAAGTATTGGAATTATTGTTGAATCAGGAAGAGTTTCTGGCTTTTGCACCAGATACAGAAGAAACAAGGTCAATGATTAACAGACAATAACAACAACAACAACAAAGCCTTTTCCCACTAAGTGGGGTCGGCTATATGAATCCTAGAACGCCATTGCGCTCATTTGTGTCATGTTCTCCGTTAGATCCAAGTACTCAAGTCTTTTCTTAGGGTCTCTTCCAAAGTTTTCCTAGATCTTCCTCTACTCCTTCGGCCCCGAACCTCTGTCCCGTAGTCACATTTTCGAACCGGAGCGTCAGTAGGCCTTCTTTGCACATCTCCAAACCACCGGAACCGATTTTCTCTCATATTTCCTTCAATTTTGGCTACTCCTACTTTACCTCGGATATCCTAATTCCCAATCTTATCCTTTCTCGTGTGCCCATACATCCCACGAAGCATCCTCATCTCCGCTACACCCATTTTGTGTACGTTGATGCTTCACCGCCCAACATTCTGTGTCATACAACATCGCTGGTCTTATTGCCGTCCTATAAAATTTTCCCTTGAGCTTCAGTGGCTTACGACGGTCACACAACACGCCGGATGCACTCTTACACTTCATCCATCTAGCTTGTATTCTATGGTTGAGATCTCCATCTAATTCTCCGTTCTCTTGCAAGATAGATCCTAGGTAGCGAAAACGGTCACTTTTTGTGATCTTCGCTAGATTGCTCCGGTCGTTAGTGTGGATAAGTATATAAATGGATAGAGATAGGAAAGCAAACACAAGATGTACGTGGTTCACCCAGATTGGCTACGTCCACGGAATAGAGGAGTTCTCATTAATTGTGAAGGGTTTACACAAGTACATAGGTTCAAGCTCTCCTTTAGTGAGTACAAGTGAATGATTTAGTACAAATGACATTAGGAAATATTGTGGGAGAATGATCTCATTATCGTCTTGACTTGCCTTATCTGTCTCATAGGTAGATGTGGCATCTTCTCTGGAAGTACTCTTCCTCCATCCAGGGGTGGTATCTGTAACTGGTGGAGATGCACAAGGTAATGTATCAATTTCACTTGAAGCTTACTTGTAGTTTCATGCTTGGTCAAGCGAGATACAAACCATGTAGTAGGAGTCCCCCAAGTCGCCGAGCTGGGGGATCTGCTGAAAGAGGTGACAGAAAAGGTAAGCAATCAGAGCTCCGGCTGATTGTTCACATTCTCCCTATCTTGCAGGCAGCATGAAGGATAAAGAGAAGAAAAATGAGGAGAGATGATATGGGATACTTTTGCTTTTGAAGAAGTAACTTTCCACAGGCTTATTCTTGAACTGGGCTGGAGGGTTTTCTGGTTTCCTCCAGAGTATAAGGCCGACTGAAGAATTTGAGGGTCAAAACAAGTCCATCAAATCTAGAGTACGTTCGACCTGCTGATATGGGATACTTTTGCTTTTGATAGAGTAGTGGATGTATCGGCACGTGTGCTGTTACGCTTGTCTCCACATGCTTCCTTGTATCCTTCTCACTTGCCCTATCTGTTCCTCAGGCAGATGCGGTATCTTCCCTGGAAGCATAAGATGTTGAAGATGAGTACTCGAGAGCAATGCCAGGTAAGTAATCAGGTAAGGGGTTCCAGGCAGTCAGTTCCTGGCTGGAAGCTTGATTCCAAGTGTTGACTGATTGCTCTCTTTCTCCTTGTCTTGCAGGTAAGAACAAGGCCAAAGGAAAAGACAGGGAAAAAGCATGATATGGGATACTCTTGCTTTTAACCCTGATGATATGAGATATTTTTGCTCTAGTATAGCTTGTTTACAGAGGTATTATCGGGGGGAAAGAAAGCTGAATATTTCGAAAGGCTTTGTTGGGAGTGCCCTCTCAGATAAAAGGGTTGAGCATTTTTGCAGGTCTGCCTGTCCGTTAGGGATGGAAGTCGACATATATAGGAGTCTCCCTAACATCAAGTAATAATGCTATTCCTTTACCCTGCTTGGTTATAGCACGGTAGTGGGAGCTGCCAGCTTCACATGTTTTAACTCTGTCAGAGCACTTTGAAAAAGTGATTTGTGGTATCTGGAAAGCTGATGTTGCGTGTGAAGATTACAGACCTGTCGGGGGTCTGGCTCTTGAGATTAGGAGAACGATGCCTCTTCGATTTTTGAGAAAGCAATCCTGCTGGGGGTCTGGCTCTCGAGATTCGGATAGCGTGTGTCTCTTCGATTTTTGAGAAAGTAATCATGTTGGGAGTCTGGCTCTCGAGATTCGGAGGGCCGTGCCTCTTCGATTTTGGAGCAAGCAATCTTGTTGGGAGTGTTTTCTCGAATGTGAGTAAAGGTTGGGCATGTTTGCTAGTCTGTCTACCTTGCCACGAAGCACAGAGGTTGACACACAGGGACTTTCCAATTATCCAGCAGTGGTACTGTTCCTTTACCCTCTCTTCGATTTTGAGAAAGTAATCATGTTGGGAGTCTGGCTCTCGAGATTCGGAGGGCGGTGCCTCTTCGATTTTGGAGCAAGCAATCTTGTTGGGAGTGTTTTCTTGAATGTGAGTAAAGGTTGGGCATGTTTGCTAGTCTACCTTGCCACGAAGCACAAAGGTTGACACACAAGGACTTTCCAATTATCCAGCAGTGGTACTGTTCCTTTACCCTCTCTTCGATTTTTGAGAAAGTAACCATGTTGGGATTCTGGCTCTCGAGATTCGGAGGGCGGTGCCTCTTCGATTTTGGAGCAAGCAATCTTGTTAGGAGTGTTTTCTCGAATGTGAGTAAAGGTTGGGCATGTTTGCTAGTCTACCTTGCCACGAAGCACAGAGGTTGACACACCGGGACTTTCCAATTATCCAGCAGTGGTACTGTTCCTTTACCCTTGTGGGTAATAATATGGTAGCTAGACCTTCAAAATTTATGTGTCTAAACTTTGTTAGTGTTGTTTCTTTGCAATTCTTTTACCCTTCTTGGTCAGAGCGATGTAGTGGGAGCTGCAAGCTTCACGTGTCTCAACTTTGTCAGAGAACTTTGGCAAAGTTATCTGTGGTACCCATGAGCTACTGTTGCGTGTGGGAAGTGGGTGATTGAACAGTACGATTCATGTGCTTTCTACTTCGCCAGAAATCTTCGACAGAATACCCATAATTTCCGCAAAACTGAGTGTGCGTGTGACATGTGCTGACAAGGCTGGAAAAGTAGGTGCCTCTTCGATTTCTGAAATCGGCCCTCGTGGTCTCTGAGCAGCCCAGCTTTTGAGAAAGCAAGCCTCTTCGATTTCTGAGATCGGCCTTTGTGGTCTTTGAGCAGCCCAGCTTTTGAGAAAGCAAACACCTCTTCGATTTCTGAGATCGACCCTCGTGGTCTCTGAGCAGCCCAGCTTTTGAGAAAGCAAACGCCTCTTCGATTTCTGAGCAGGCGCCTCTTCGATTTCTGAAGCTTCGTCGAGTGCAGATTTTTATAGGGGCTGACATTAAGTTCCAAAGCACACTTGAATATCCACTAGTAGAAGCTCCATTCTTGCACTTCTAAGATCTTGATTTGTCCGACCTCTTCTCTCTTCAACACCTTTGAAAATGTCTGGCCCCTCCGACCGTCGTTTTGACTTGAACCTTGTTGAAGAGGCAGCCCCGCCTTCTCCAGACAACATATGGCGCCCATCCTTCGTCTCCCCTACTGGTCCTCTTACCGTTGGGGATTCCGTGATGAAGAATGATATGACCGCTGCGGTAGTGGCCAGGAACCTTCTCACTCCCAAAGATAACAGACTACTTTCCAAACGGTCTGATGAGTTGTCTGTTAAGGATTCTCTGGCTCTCAGTGTTCAGTGTGCAGGTTCTGTGTCTAATATGGCCCAACGCCTATTTGCTCGAACCCGCCAAGTTGAATCATTGGCGGCTGAAGTGATGAGTCTCAAACAGGAGATTAGAGGGCTCAAGCATGAGAATAAACAGTTGCACCGGCTCGCACATGACTATGCTACAAACATGAAGAGGAAGCTTGACCAGATGAAGGAATCTGATGGTCAGGTTTTACTTGATCATCAGAGATTTGTGGGTTTGTTCCAAAGGCATTTATTGCCTTCGTCTTCTGGGGCTGTACCGCGTAATGAAGCTCCAAATGATCAATCTCTGATGCCTCCTCCTTCTAGGGTTTTGTCCAGTACTGAGGCTCCGAATGATCCCCCTCCGGTGCCTTCTCTTTCTGGGGCTCTACCGACTGCTGAGACTTCTCCTAAGCAACCTTTGTGAAGGCTCCCTCTTGTTTGTTTATTTTGACTCAAGTATATGTACATATTTGTAACTTATCGGGGATATCAATAAATAAGCTTTCCTTCATTTCAACGTATTGTGTTAAATACACCAAAGCCTTCTTCGCTAAGTTCTTTGAATTTTCTTTTGTTGAAGCTTGTATGTTGAAGCTTTGTGAGTGGAGCATATAGGTTGAGGTAGTGTTCCCTTAATTTCCCGAGTGAGGAAAACTTCTCGGTTGGAGACTTGGAAAATCCAAGTCACTGAGTGGGATCGGCTATATGAATCTTAGAACGCCATTGTGTTCTGTCCTGTGTCATGTCCTCCGTTAGATCCAAGTACTCTAAGTCTTTTCTTAGGGTCTCTTCCAAAGTTTTCCTAGGTCTTCCTCTGCCCCTTCGGCCTTGAACCTCTGTCCCATAGTCGCATCTTCTAATCGGAGCGTCAGTAGGCCTTCTTTGCACATGTCCAAACCACCGTAACCGATTTTCTCTCATCTTTCCTTCAATTTCGGCTACTCCTACTTTACCCCGGATATCCTCATTCCTAATCTTATCCTTTCTCGTGTGCCCACACATCCAACGAAGCATCCTCATCTCCGCTACACCCATTTTGTGTACGTGTTGATGCTTCACCGCCCAACATTCTGTGCCATACAGCATCGCCGGCCTTATTGCCGTCCTATAAAATTTTCCCTTGAGCTTCAGTGGCATACGGCGGTCACACAACACGCCGGATGCACTCTTCCACTTCATCCATCCAGCTTGTATTCTATGGTTGAGATCTCCATCTAATTCTCCGTTCTTTTGCAAGATAGATCCTAGGTAACGAAAACGGTCGCTCTTTGGTATTTCTTGATCTCCGATCCTCACCCCTAACTCGTTTTGGCCTCCATTTGCACTGAACTTGCACTCCATATATTCTGTCTTTGATCGGCTTAGGCGAAGACCTTTAGATTCCAACACTTCTCTCCAAAGGTTAAGCTTTGCATTTACCCCTTCCTGAGTTTCATCTATCAACACTATATCGTCTGCGAAAAGCATACACCAAGGAATATCACCTTGAATATGTCCTGTTAACTCATCCATTACCAACGCAAAAAGGTAAGGACTTAAGGATGAGCCTTGATGTAATCCTACAGTTATGGGAAAGCTTTCGGTTTGTCCTTCATGAGTTCTTACGGCAGTCTTTGCTCCTTCATACATAACATTCCTTTTCATGTTACTTCCATGTGTTAATATATGATTGTGTTTCTGTGCTACCGTTTAATTGGATGCGTTTTTTTTCTTTAGTGCATCTAAGTTTTGACACCTCTTCTCTATTTGTTTTCAAAATATTGACATTGAATTCTTTGCCTCACATGAATTTTATTTTACTTATATCTAGATAGATTGGATAGTATTGGTTTGTTCCTTATTTTACCCCCAGTTAAATATCAACATGATACTGATTTCAATCGAGCAAAATAATATTGCTAAAGCATACATCTTGGGAACCCTACCCTCCTGCTCTGGCTTTTAAAACAGTGTTTTCATGTAGAGGAATGCTTCATCTTCAGAGAATAATTTTGGGGTTAATGTGACATATGGCTCTTTTTTTTTTTTTTTCAGATAAAGAACGATTGTATTTGGGAGCAGCCTCTCCATAAATGGGGGTAAGGCTAGCCGACATTCACCTCTCCCAGACCCTGCGTAAAGCGGGAGCCTTGTGCACTGGGTACGACGATAAAGAACGATTGTATTAAGGTCAAGGGAAACAAACAAACATCAAGAATACCAAACTGAAACAGAAAACAAAACACTGTTGACATATGGTCCATTCATCAGCAAACTAATGTAGGCAAATTCTTGATTATTTTTATCTCATTTATAGCAATGGTTCAGACACAAACTGGAAACTACTTGGATACACATGATAATGAAAACTAGGTTTGCTGTCTCAAGTGCATTATAGATAAATCTTATTAGTAGTTTCCAATGATTGACCCAGTGTTCGATAGCTGTGTCTACTGTACATTTGAATACAAAATTCTGACTTTTGTTGCCATATAGCTTTCTTAACCGCATTTAAGTGAGGCCTTTGCATAGATCTAGTTTTCTTGTATCAAATAGAGAAATAAAATAACAGATTTCACAATGTGTCCTCCTTTAGTTTCCTTAGCAATGGTTTTCATGGCTCAAGCTAAATAAATCACATTTCATACTTACAGCGTGTTTCTAGACTTTACAAAGATGAACAGGAGCTGGAAACCTACATACGCTCAGATCTCTATGGTACCTGCAACCAAATCACGTAAGTCGATACTTTTGTATCGCATTAAGGATGAATTTTTCTAAACTGAACTTCTGTTATATGGGGACTGAAGGACTATTAAAGACTAGTGAAGAACTTCAAATTTCCAAAATTATTCGTTTTGCTGACTTTCTAGTGCTTGTCAAATGTTTCCTTCTTAATCTCTTTCATTATTGTGGTCACTTGGACTACATGACTGTAGCTTTTTATGCATGCTAGATTGATGTGAATAAGCTTTGAGTCTTGTAAATGATGTTACTGACTGGTGCATTATAGTTTTCCTCTTCTGAATTTGCCTTTGGTTTCCTTGATATGATGCACACATCTGCACGGATTAGATGTGAGGTCTATGATACATGCATGATTTTTGAAATGATTTATTTGATGCACAAATTACAATCTGTTGTGCTATTCCTTTTTAAGTAGTCATCTGACTTATTCTTATAGTTTGAAACGCCTTTTCATTGCTGTTCTGTTTCTCTTATTTGCTAACCATTATTAGCTGGATGGCTTTTTGTTTAATGACTTCAGCCTGTTTGATTCTATGAGACATTGCATTATGAAATTGGCTGTGTGACTGAGTAAATTCCACTGTTTCTTTAGGAATTGCTCAAATCCAAAAATCAAGGGAGCAGTAGTTTTTCATGATCAAGGTCCTCAATCATTTGATTATAGCATACGTCTTAACCACACATGGGCTTTCTCGGGCTTTGATGTCAAATCCATCATGGACGTGAATGGTCCCTACCTCAATGACCTGGAACTCGGCGTAAATGCTGTACCGACCATGCAGTACAGCTCCAGTGGATTTTTAACTGTATGGTTGCTTCATTCATTGTTCTCTTCTTGGTTTTTGTTTTCTTAATTTCACTTGTTCCTTTAGTTGTTGAATGGAGCTTCTTCCTAACTGTATGTCAGTAGCAGGTTTTAATGTTTTATAAAACTTTTTGTAAAGCAAAATATAGTATGTAGACGAAGAAGCTGCGTTTATATGTTTAATGATTATTATTCAATGATAGTGTATCTTCTTAATTTCATCCATATTAAACATGGTTGCTATTTTTCTTCACAAATTATTTTCTGATTGAGCCTTGACAAGTCCCTTTTCTTCATTCTAATTATGGGTGAAACTGCATCAACTATATTTGTGAAAATACACGTCCATTTTTCTAATGCCTTCGTACAACTGCAGCTCCAGCAAGTACTGGATTCGTTTATTATTTTTGTGGCCCAACAATCTGACACCAAAGATATAGAACTTTCTTCATCGGCATCACTGTCCTCTGGTGAACCTTCCTTTGTCAGCTTTCCATGGATGCTTTACGGCCCATCAAACATTCAAATAGTGCCGTTTCCAAGTCGTGAATACACTGATGATGAGTTCCAGTCCATCATAAAAACTGTGATGGGTGTATTGTATGTATACCTTGAGTTTTGTATATCTACATTGCTTTTATAATTTTGTATATCTGGTTGGGAGTCAATATTTGTTAGTTTAGATGTTCTGACAAGCTCTATTTGGTTGATCTGGAACTTGGATGAGCAGGTATCTTCTGGGATTCCTCTACCCAATTTCTCGGTTGATCAGCTATTCAGTGTTTGAGAAGGTCTGGTAACTGTTATGATAACTCTAATTGGAATAAAGTTGATGATTTACCTTAGTCACCATATTGTTTCTGTTTACTTATGTATTCTATCTTTTTTAATGGTTTGGGCCAAAGCGTCATTCTTCATACTTTATGTTTATTTGTATGTTTTGGATTAAAATCTTTGGACTGCAGCCCCTTTTTCTTTGTAATGTAAGGTCTTTATATGATGGGTCTGAAAGGTGGGATATTCCACCTCTCATGGTTCATTACATATGCTTTGCGGGTTTGTTCTCTGTTCTTTGTATTTTCATTGAATTTCCACTTTCCATGCTCTTTGCATTTGTGGCTGAGATTTTGGATGCACTTCAATTTTTTAACTCTCAGTGCTTTTGCTTTTCAGGATAGAAATCTAACTATTGTTGCATGGATCTAGTATTTGCAATGTTACAAAATTATAGGGTCTTAGCATTGGTCATTTTTTTGGTGAATAGAGAGGGTGAAGACATCCTAGAAGAAACTAATACATAGCGTTAATAACAATAGAGCGGCCCATAGGAGCACCGACAAGATCATCCGTTAGATGTTGCATAAGCCATGGGGGAGGAAACTGAAAAGAATACAACCCAAGGTCCAAATTGTAGCTCCATTTGGCTAATTGATCTGCAACACTGTTCAATTCCCTAAAAATATGCTTTAGCATTGATCAATTTACAAGGCAAGGAAATGTGTCCTTTGATTGCTTAAGCGTATAGGGGTCTATCGGTGCAAGTCATCTGAACACCATGATTGATGAGTACGTAGGTAGGTTAGGTGCACCTCTCACCCGGTGGGAAGTAATGAGGCTAGTAAAAGATTAAGTGCTGCAGAACATAAAGTGTACACAGGTTTTTGGTTGAATATTCGATGATCTCCATTGATCTCAGTATAAGGTATTTATACAATTTCACAAAGACTTTACAGGCGTTGACAAACTGTACAAGGAAAGATTTTACAATTGAATATGTGCATACAATTAGGAAGCTTAATAAGGTAAATGAATGTGATCATGATTTCATGGGCTAATGAGCTTGATTCCCCCCATCTTGTCTATCACACCCCCGCAAGCTGATGGGGCAAAGAAGCACAGGAAGCTTGGATAGGAGATAGCGAAAACGAGTAACGGATAGGCCCTTGGTAAAGATGTCAGCAATTTGATCATGGGTAGAAAGATAAAGGACTTGTAGCTCGTTACGAACTACCTTTTCACGAACATAGTGATAATCCACCTCAACATGACAAGTACGGGCATGAAAAACAGGATTTGAGGCTAAGGATATGGCGCTAATATTATCACAATGGACTGTTGGACAATACAGCGGAAGGCAAAGATCATGAAAAAGCTTACGGAACCATGAAATTGCAACAGCAGTGTAGGCAAGCTGGCGTTATTCCGCTTCGGTACTTGAACGGGAAACCCCACCTTGTTTCTTGGAGCTCCAAGAGACAAGGTTTGAACCAATATAAATGCAATATCCACCAGTGGAACGCCGGTCATCAGGATCGCCGGCATAATTGTCATCAGAATAAGCAGTGAGAATAATGGAGCTAGGTTTATATGTAATATCGTGAAAGAGAGTACCAACCAAATATCGTAAGATACATTTGGCAGCCAACCAATGGATAGAAGTGGGTTGATGCATAAATTGACACACTTGGTTGACCGCAAATGCAATGTTAGGACGAGTGAGAGTAAGGTATTGAAGAGCACCTACAACACTTCAGTATTCTGTCGGATCAGGAAGAGGGTCTCCATCTTGAAGGCTAAGCCTGCGACCACTAACAACGGGGGTATGAACAAGTTTAGCTGCTGCCATTTTGGTACGCAATAGAAGATCCTGCACATACTTTGTTGAGAAAGACATAAGCCATCCGATGTCCGGACAATCTCCATGCCGAGGAAATAATTAGCAGGGCCTAAATCTTTCATAGCGAAGTGACGTCCTAAGTCAGCAATCAACCGAGCAATATGAGACATATCATTCCCTGTGACCAAAATATCATTGACATAGATAAGCAGAAAAATGCGTATGGGGCCATTAAGATAAATGAAAAGAGATGTGTCAGCCTGAGATTGTGTGAAACCCAAGTCTTCCAAGTGCAAAGAGAAACATTGAAACCACGCCCGAGGGGCTTGTTTGAGGCCATAAAGAGATCGCTGAAGTGTACAAACATGATCAAGGAATTGAGAATCACAAAACCATTTGGCTGGCGCATATAGACTTCTTTAGATAAAAAACCATGTAAAAATGCATTTTGAATGTCAAGTTGACAAACAGGCCACCGAAACTGAACGGAAAGTGCAAGGATGAGACGAATGGTGGAATGGTTGACCATGGGGCTAAAGGTTTCACCATAATCGAGTCTAGGCTGCTGATGGAATCCATTTGCAACAAGGCGGGCTTTGAAACGTTGAATAGAGCCATCAAAGTTCCTCTTGATACGGAAGACCCATTTGTTTGGCAAAATGTTCATTGAATGAGTATGGGGAACAAGGACCCAGGTACGGGCTCGTTGAAGAGCATTGAATTCATCTACCATGGCTTGACGCCACTCAGGAAATTTGTTTGCTTGACTGAAACAAGTAGGCTCAATGAAAGTATTAGTAGGTACAGAATAATCCGCATAATGAGTACATTTGGAATTAGACTTAAGATTACCAGCTTTACGCCGAGTCACCATGGGGTGAGCATTTGTGGCTCTTACCGAAGACGTGGCGGGGATAGGTGGTTGTCTTAAGTAACTTGGAGAAACAGGTTGGGAATGTGTAATTAAATCAGTAACGGGAAATGGTGCAAGGCCTGCAGGACGATAGGTTTTACGGTGATAAACTTGTAGAGGAGCAGATGCATTTGGACGATGAGTCAAGGGCTCTGATACCATAAAAAATTAACTGATGCAGAACATAAAGTACACACGGGTTTTTGGTTGAATATTCAATGATCTCCATTGATCTCAGTATAAGGTATTTATACAATTTCACAGAGACTTTACAGGCGTTGACAAATTGTACAAGGAAAGATTTTACAATTGAATATGTGCATACAATTATGAAGCTAATAAGGTAAATGAATGTGATCATGATTTCAAAGGCTGATGAGCTTGATTCCCTCCATCTTGTCTATCAGCTAGCCCCACCCCTTGAATGAAAAAGTAGTGGGGCCCCCTTCCTGCATATGCACCTTTAATTTAGATTATTTCCATTTTTTTAAATGGAGAATTTTTCTAAAAAAATCTCTGGCAAAACAAAACGAAATTCGAAAAAAAAGAAAGAAGAGAAAGAAAGGGAAGTTTTGTCTTTCTTTCAATCAAAATAAGAGAACAAAGAAACCCTCAAAAATTGAAGTTAGATAAAGAAGTTAACGTAAGAACTAGCGCTAGACTTCTTCCCCCTTTCTTGGTACTTAAATGTATTTATGTGAAGTAGGTGGAGTTCATCAAATGATTAGATGCTTAAGAAGTCCAACTCAATCTCCCGACCATTTTGATTTTAGTTTATAATGAAAAAGTAACTATGTCCAAGTAGTTATGTTGTATTTATGGTTGCTGATTGTTGCAAACAATGGTTTCTGGGTGCTCAGGGAATCAGTTTCGTTTTATATTTTTATATTTTTACATTTTTTGGTAAGTACATCAAAATATTAAGTTGTTACAAGTACCCTTGTGAACAAGGAATCCACACTCAATACATGAACAACAAAACTCTAAAAGCTGCCTAAATTTAGTAAGTTAAAATATCTGAGTTCTAGTCCAACAGAAAATCTGACAAGGAAGACTCCCTGATCTCTACAGTAACTGAGGCCGCTGAGGCTGACAAAAAATTAATTTGATCCTATAGTTCATCCACAACCCTGAATAATCCAAAAGAATCTGGCTATCTCATCTCATTTATGTGACCCTCAAATTTCCATGTGAGGAAGCTTCTCTGTTAAATCTTATTGCGATTTCCTACTCAAAAACAGTGCAAACAGGGTTTTTCAGGTTCAAGGCATGGTTTGGAAATCTAAAGTTCCTAATAAAGTGAAGGTTTTTACTTGGTTAGTGGCTCATGGGAAAGTTAACACTTTGTGACATGCTCCAAAAATAGACCTAATTCATGTCTACAACCTGAATGGTGCTTTTTAGGCCAGAAGAGTTCAGAGTCTGTTGGTCGTTTGTTTCTTCACCATCCGGTGGCTTTAAATCTATGGTTTAAGTTGTTTTAGGGAGTTTGGTATCAGTTGGGTTTTACCCAGGGATTGTTATTCTTTTATGGTAGAGAAGCATAAATTACCAGGAAAGGGGAAGAAACCAAGGTCTTAAACCTTTTGAAGTCAGCTCTGTGGACTTGGAAAATCTTTGCCGACTTATTCAAGAATGGCTTTCATCTGTTCCATCCCATCCAAGGTGCTTACTTGATGGCCTTGAAGTTTGCATTGGGGCCATCGACTCCATTGTGGCTGAAAATGCCACAGTGGCAGAGATTAGTTTGTCGCGAGATATGATAATTATGATTGGACGATGGATTGGCAATGAAGAAAGAATAAAGACACTATTATCTCCGCTGCCAATTTCTGATGGGGTGATTGGTGAACAGTTGATTGAGCAGTTGGTTCGAGACAGTATGAAGGATACATGCACTGATTAATGTGTGTTCATTTAATTTCAAATTTTGTCTTGGACTTCTTACTTTGTTGGAAAATTTGGATGGACATAAACTGCTGTACAATTTTTGCCATATTTTCCTGACGGTTTGATGACTTAAAGATGTCAGAAAGTTCCCGGGGCTTAGGGTTAAATTTTCTTTATTTCTTTGTTGTTTCTTCTTTGCCGTGCTATATTTTTTCCTTACTCTCGGGATGTTGTGCAGGGGTATACCATTGCCAATATTTTCCTAGTGGTGGCTGTCCAATGAGAAGTTCAGCAATTGAATCGTTTGTCCTCGCATCATTTCCTGGTGCAATATTCCAGGGGTTTAATGGCTTGAGTGCTAAATATCAGGTAAAATTTATCTTGGATTAATGTTACAGATAATAGTTCTTGTTGATTTCATTTGTGTAGATAATGGAATTTAAAGAAGATAAGAAAAGATCTTAATCTCCGTTCTGCTGTCTAGTCCATATCCATCAAGCATTCAATGTTTTAAAAGACAAAAATACTTTGGATAATGCAAACTGCCTCATATTTCGGATACATTTAGGTCCATAACACTCACTCTCAGTCTAAATGCTCAGACTGTTAGCTTGTAGCTAACCAATATGTGGGCTACAGAGGAACACGAATAGTGTCTATGAGTGTGTGCGAGTGTGTGTCGGCCACATATGAAGGAGAATAGCTTTCACAGTGGTCACGCGTTCATTAACACGCTAAAGTACTGTCTTTCTTTAGTTTTCTGAAGTTAGCTTCCTTAACTTCTTGTCAACTACCGCTGTGGTGTGGGCGATTCTTGTTAATTGTGGCTTTTATGAAGTGTACCCAAGTAGTGTCAGTTTGTTGAAATAGTTCTCAAAAATGTCGTCCACAGTTACACATTGCCTACTTTTGTTATTTCGTTTTCACTGTTTTCATTTCATAGAAAAGTTTGAGAATTTGGATTCCAGAGAGACATTCTCAAATCTTGAAAATGCAAGATTCAATTTCTTCTTTTTTGTTTTGCAAAGCAGTCCTCTTGAAAGCCGTACAATAAAATGCTAGGAGGTTGGACCCTAATCCATTTCATGTTCTCACCCCTAGCCCTGAATTCTTGATTTCTGGTTAGCGTGGGGCAAGGTACGTCCCTTTTGAGTGTTTTAGATTCCCAGGTCGAGTTACCTTTTCTTGGACCGATGTAAGCCTCTCTACTTAACGATGGCCAGTAGGATAAATGTGGATCGGGGGTCTCTTGGATTCACCTGTGGCTCTAACAAGATTGACATGCGCGTATTTTAAGTATGGATAGCAACTTGTAATCTACCACAACTTTCATTGCAGTTGCCATATCGACAGGGCCTCTCGCTTGCAGATGTCTTTGGGCACCTTGAACGGAACAAGTGAATTTCGTCATACCTTTTCTGTCTGTTCATATTTCTTCATGCTCAATCTGACCAGTGCTGTTTATAATCTCTCTTTTCCGCCCTTAGGGTTGAGACCATCATAGAGGCTTTGTAAATACCAGAAACGGCGTATTGTACGTAACTTCAAACTTGGGTGAAATGTAATCTGTTACGAAATTACAGATTGACAGTTGTACCCATCATATCGTACTCGATGACGACACGACATGCTGATGCACGGAAATGCCGAAAGTTGTACATTCTATTATTACTTAAAATCCGTACCTAGTAGTCAAATGGCTACAGATCCTTTGTGTACAGAACTTTCAAGTGCAGAGAATAACTTAACTCTAGCATCACGTTTGACAAGGATTAGAACTAATTAATCCAAAAAGAAAAACAGTCAGTAGATTAACAAAATAAATCAAACTAAATTAGAAAATGAAAGCGCAACCTGTTGTATGTTTCTTCTTCTCACTTCATGGCTTTTAGGGATGAAGGCCTTCTTCTTTGTTAGATGAGAAGCATAGAGCCAAAAGGAAGCAATGGAAGCCAACAAGAAAGTGGGGGAGAGAAGAGAGAAGAAAAGGAGAAAGTGGGAAGGGGAAGGGGAAGAGGCTAGGAGGAAGGGAGAGAAAAGGAGAGAGAGGCTTCCTTTGCCATTTCCCAGTGTTTATCGTCATTCTCTCGGCGTTTATCGTCGTTTTCCCGGCGTTCTTCGCCGTTTTCCCGTTCCTCTCCCACCTAATTTTCTCGCCCATGCTTTCCTATATCCCACTTCTTATATCCCACTTCTTACTAAGCCATAAGCTTGTTCTTCAAGTGCTTGACCCGATTGGTTCCCTGGATCCATATGGGCAATTTTGATAACTAGCCATATTTTGCACCACAAAATGATTTTTAACCAACCTTTTATTATTCTTACAAATTTAACCAAAAACTCATGCAAAAGTACTAAATTACCCCCTCCCTTCTTCTTTTATCTCTTCCCCCTCTCAAATCCCATCAATCCACCATACCCCACCCCAACCCAACTCAACCTGCTCCCAAATCCACCACCACCATTGCCGCCGCCATATCTTGCTCTGTTACCCAATTTGGAAATCAAATTAAAGTTTAACCTTTCTATGCTTGCATTTTGATGGTTGGATGTTGTATTCAGTTTTGACTCTGTTACTCTTTTGTGGTAGAGTAAACTCTATGAATATCACTTTTCCTCTTCATGTTTGTCATTCTTCTCCATTTTGTGAATGTGCTGTTAGTTTTGTTGGTGATGAGGACAATTATGATGTTTCTTGCCATTGCTTCTATGGCTTTTGTTGGAATGGTTTACAAAAAATGAGAACTCAAAGTATGCAGAAATGCTTTAATGGAGGCAAATTAGAACAACCTATGATTCTTATTTATTCCACATATCATATAAAACAATGAGATGAAAAATTGCAGATTTAGATGCATTTTCAAAAATCTTCTATCGTACGGAGAGAGCGAGATATGGTGGTAGTGTCGGTCGTATCGGGTGCCACGATGGTGGTGATGGATTTGCAAAAAGGGATGGAGTAGGGTGGAGTGAACTGTGGAGTGGACTGTGGAGTCGAAGAGGAAGGAGAAAGAGACAAGGGAGAAGGGAAGGGGGCATTTTAGAATTTTTGCATGGATTTTTTGTTAAATTTGTAAGAAATGTAAAGCGTAGGTTAAAAATAATTTCAAGGTACAAAATATGATTATTTATCAAATTTTCCTGATTCACATCCCATAGCTCCTTACCATATATACCGTCATGCAAGGTTCTAAAAGATGTTAGGCGCTAATCGGGTGGCGGGTTAGGGCCTAGTGCCTAAGCGAGACTTAGGCAGATTTAAGTAAACCTGTTATATTTCATATAATTAAGTATATGTTTTGTACTTAAAATATATATAATTACATCATAAATTACAAAATAGAATGACATATATATTATGAAATATTGAAACATAATGAAAACCTGGGGAACAAGCATATAATGTGTGTTCATTTAAGTATTCAACAAGTATCTTACAATTTATTAAAAGAAATGAAAGTTATCTATTTTTTATCTACGTAAGTCGCAATCTAGGCGAGTGTCTAGGTAGTCTAGGCGTATTTTTTAAATTTTCAAATGCCTAGACATTAATCGGGGCAATGTCCAACCGCCTAGCCTAGACAGGGATTTTTATAACAGTGCCACCATGACAAAAAATTTAGGTGAAGTGTGGAACGATTTGCATTGTAACAATGGTGTTTTACACACCCCCTTCAACCCTCCCCTTTTTCTTTTTTTGTTTTGTTTGGTCTCTTGGTTCTCTTTGCAGGTGGTGTTGTCTGCATTTTGGATCTTGGGGGTTTGATTTGGTTTGGCATTTCAAGCTTAATCTTAGGGTTTGTGAGCGGATTTGGATGTGGTGTAAGCATGGAGTGCGGAACGGGTGCGGTGGGCTGTTCTCCGGTGTTAGAGATTAAGATTTTCTTTTCTTGCTTTGTTGCTTTTGCTGGGCTTAAGTTTGTTTGGCCTTCCCTAGTTGTTTTAGGTTGTAGCTCATCATTTGCTTTGGCCTTTTGTTGTATTTCCTTTCTTAACTTTTGTACTTGTTCTTTCTTTTAATGAATTTCCCTGTTTCAATGAAAAAAGAAGAAGAAGAGATGTTTTGCATTTGTCTGCACTATTTTGATGGTAAGAAGTCAGATTTACGCACAACTTTCACACGCAATTAAACACAAACGTTATCTGTTGACCGCTTCCAATAGTGACACTCATATTCTCTACTTCTCTCAAGCCATCCCATAGCTAGGCCTGGCAATTCCTGACACGACCCGATAACCCGACACGACACGACACGAAATTAACAGGTGTTTGGGTTGACACGATAACGAAACGGGTCGTTATCGGGTAACCCGATAAGCACCTGTTAAGATAACGGGTTTGTTCGGGTATACACGTGGGTAACACGATACACGATAAGCAGAATATTAATTTAATAATTTATAACCCTAAAAAAATACTATAATAATTATATATATATTAATTTAACAATTTTATACCCCTCAAAACTATAATAATTATATATATATATATATATATATATTAAATTAACTATAATAATTATAATAATTATATATACTATAATAATTATACCCAAAATATTAACTATAATAATTATATATATATATATTAAATTTTATACCCCTAAAAACTATAATAATTATACATACAAAATAAGTAGATTTAAATCTACTTAATAAATATATATATATATACACACACACCATTGAACTTCATGGGATACGAATTATATGAAACTAATTTCAACGATCCAACCGTCAAACATGTTTGTATATACTTCCAGATCGCATACGCCAAAAATTGCAAAAAACAAACATTCAGAGAGCAAGTAACGGGACAAAACTTTTCGACGGTTATAAACGAAAAATCACGATTTAACGGTCATTTTAACTCCGATTTTGATGATTTTTTACAACCACACTCCTTGACCCTATATGAATACAATGATTGAATTCGATCTTCAATTTAAAATATTTACACTAGTGGATACCACAAAATCTTATGTTATACTTAATAAAAGTATGAATAAACTCTTAAGTATTAGTGAATCTATTGTTTTGATGGGATACTCATTCTACAAAACTAGTTTCAATGATCCAACCGTCAAACATGTTTGTATATACTTCGAGATCGCATACGCCAAAAATTGCAAAAAACAAACATTCAGAGATCAAGTAATGGGACAAAGGTTTTCGACGGTTATAAACAAAAAATCACGATTTAACGGTTATTATTTTAACTCCGATTTGATGATGATTTTTTACAACTACACTCCTTGACCCTATATGAATACAAGTAATGAATTCGATCTTCAATTTAAAATATTTACACTAGTGGATACCACAAAATCTTATGTTATACTTAATAAAAGTATGAATAAACTATTAAGTATTAGTGAATTTATTGTTTTGATGGGATACTCATTCTACGAAACTAGTTTCAAAGATCCAACCGTCAAACATGTTTGTATATACTTCGAGATCGCATACGCCAAAAATTACAAAAAACAAACATTCAGAGATCAATTAACAGGACAAAACTTTTCGACGGTTATAAAAAGAAAAATCACGATTTAACGGTCATTTTTACTCCGATTTTGATGATTTTTTACAACTACACTCCTTGACCCTATATGAATACAATGATTGAATTCGATCTTCAATTTAAAATATTTACACTAGTGGATACCACAAAATCTTATGTTATACTTAATAAAAGTATGAATAAACTCTTAAGTATTAGTGAATCTATTGTTTTGATGGGATACTCATTCTACGAAACTAGTTTTAATGATCCAACCGTCAAACATGTTTGTATATATTTCGAGATCGCATATGCCAAAAATTGCAAAAAACAAACATTCAGAGAGCAAGTAACGGGACAAAACTTTTCGACGGTTATAAATGAAAAATCACGATTTAACGGTTAATTTAACTCCGATTTTGATGATTTTTTACAACTACACTCCTTGATCTTATATGAATACAATGATTGAATTCGATCTTCAATTTAAAATATTTACACTAGTGGAAACCACAAAATCTTATGTTATACTTAATAAAAGTATGAATAAACTCTTAAGTATTAGTGAATCTATTGTTTTAATGGGATACTCATTCTACGAAACTAGTTTCAATGATCCAACCGTCAAACATGTTTGTATATATTTCGAGATTGCATACGCCAAAAATTGCAAAAAACAAACATTCAGAGAGCAAGTAACGGGACAAAACATTTCGACGGTTATAAACGAAAATTCACGATTTAACGGTTAATTTAACTCCGATTTTGATGATTTTTTACAAATACACTCCTTGACCTTATATGAATACAATGATTGAATTCGATCTTCAATTTAAAATATTTACACTAGTGGATACCACAAAATCTTATGTTATACTTAATAAAAGTATGAATAAACTATTAAGTATTAGTGAATCTATTGTTTTGATGGGATACTCATTCTACGAAACTAGTTTCAAAGATCCAACCGTCAAACATGTTTGTATATACTTCGAGATCGCATACGTCAAAAATTACAAAAAACAAACATTCAGAGATCAATTAACGGGACAAAACTTTTCGACGGTTATAAAAAGAAAAATCACGATTTAACGGTCATTTTAACTCTGATTTTGATAATTTTTTGCAGCTACACTCCTTGACCTTATATGAATACAATGATTGAATTCGATCTTCAATTTAAAATATTTACACTAGTGGAAACCACAAAATCTTATATTATACTTAATAAAAGTATGAATAAACTATTAACGTATTAGTGAATCTATTGTTTTGATGGGATACTCATTCTACGAAACTAGTTTCAAAGATCCAACCGTCAAACATGTTTGTATATACTTCAAGATCGCATACGTCAAAAATTACAAAAAACAAACATTCAGAGATCAAGTAACGGGACAAAACTTTTCGACGGTTATAAACGAAAAATCACGATTTAACGGTCATTTTAACTTCGATTTTGATGTTTTTTTACAACCACACTCCTTGACCCTATATGAATACAATGATTGAATTCGATCTTCAATTTAAAATATTTACACTAGTGGATACCACAAAATCTTATATTATACTTAATAAAAGTATGAATAAACTATTAAGTATTAGTGAATCTATTGTTTTGATGGGATACTCATTCTACGAAACTAGTTTCAATGATCCAACCGTCAAACATGTTTATATATACTTCGAGATTGCATACGCCAAAAATTGCAAAAAACAAACATTCAGAGATCAAGTAACGGGACAAAACTTTTCGACGGTTATAAACGAAAAATCACGATTTAACGGTCATTTTAACTCCGATTTTGATGATGTTTTACAACTACACTCCTTGACCCTATATGAATACAATGATTGAATTCGATCTTCAATTTAAAATATTTACACTAGTGGAAACCACAAAATCTTATGTTATACTTAATAAAAGTATGAATAAACTCTTAAGTATTAGTGAATCTATTGTTTTGATGGGATACTCATTCTACGAAACTAGTTTTAATGATCCAACCGTCAAACATGTTTGTATATATTTCGAGATCGCATACGCCAAAAATTGAAAAAAACAAACATTCAGAGAGCACGTAACGGGACAAAACTTTTTGACAGTTATAAACGAAAAATCACGATTTAACGGTTAATTTAACTCCGATTTTGATGATTTTTTACAACTACACTCCTTGACCTTATATGAATACAATGATTGAATTCGATCTTCAATTTAAAATATTTACACTAGTGGATACACAAAAATCTTATGTTTATACTTAATAAAAGTATGGTATAGTACTATTGTTTTATTTTTTTTCATAATTATTTTGGTAAACTTCTCATAATTTGAATGATTTTTAATGTTTGGTTTTTCTATGCTTAGTTTATGCAGAAGATAGTTATGACGTGGAAAACCTTAATTAAAACATCATCAACATAACTCTTGAAGGCAATAGATCAAGCCAAAGTTCCAATGCAATTTCATGATGATCGATGTAAATCGAGGATTTTGTAAATTGACGTTTAAACTTTTGAGAAAGATTTCACAACCTTGAAAACAAAAACTGTTTCATTTTGCATATCCTTGCACATTTAAAATTTGTAATAGATTAGTAGTGTATGTATTATTTTTTTATTAGGCTCTTATTTTCGAGTGTAGATGTAGTACTTAAACGACAAATGTGTTTTAATGTTTTGAAGTAATATTTATGTGGCAATGTGTGGTATGTGCAAATTTAAGAAAAAAAATATATTTTTCTTAATGGGTCATAACGGGTCATAACGGGTCGGGTCACTTTACCCGTTGGGTAAAGTGACACGACCTGTTAAGGACCCGTTAAGATAACATGTGTGACACGACACGACCCGTTAAGATAACAGGTGTTACACGAAAACGACTGACACAACCCGTTTTCCAGGCCTACCCATAGCACTGGAACATACAACAACACTCGGAGCATATATGCGTTGTACCCAGTCCAGACTCCATCCAAGTTTTGATACCAACAATGTTATCAATTTAAAAACTTCTTCTTGTTCCACAAGAATGCATAATTAGTTTTTGACAAGCCCCTTAAAACCCAGGCCTTCTAAGCTGAAGAGCTCGCCACCTATAAGGCGGCTCAAGGTGAACATTGACAGTGCCTAGAGCAAAGATCTCGAGATGGGAGGTACTGGAATTATGGTGCATGACTAACATGGAAATTTTGTTGGAGGAGTTGCGAAGAACTTCAGTTTTGTTCCCTCCCCTCTTCATGCAGAGACTTTAGCTTTTAGGGAAGGCTTGGTTTTGGTGTTGACGAGGGGTTTCACAATGTTACTTTCGAGAGTGACTAGCTTTAGATCATTTCCGTGATGAGGAATATCGTCACTAATATGTCTCCTATTGGACATACTATTGAGGATTCTAAAGCTTTGTTGCCAAGGATCACTAAAACTTTTGTGTAGCCCATCGCCTAGCCCGTTATTAACTTAGTGTTGTTAGTCCTTGTCTTTGGTTAGATACCCCTCCTGACACCTATGTACTTCTGGAGGATGGTCATTCATTGTAATTGGACCAACTCTTTTTCTCTCCTTTTGTTTTGTTTTTTTTGAGAGATTTTATAAGATTTATAGAATCCACAACACTGGTATGGATTTTGAAGTTTTGTATAGACTTTTGTTTATAAATTTTTATAGACATTGTTATCACAATGTCACTTATCTAGATTATTTTATTTTATTTTTTTGAAATATCAAAACACAAAAGAAAAACATTTTCTCATCCGCATCCTTAGTACTATGGGTAGGCAAATGGGTCCTGGACCTGCGGTTGGGGCGGGTACTAGCGGGTTAGGACGGGTATTAGCGATTTGGGGTGGGTTCAAGTCAGGGCCAAATTTGGCAGAGATGAAATGGGACAGGGCAAGGCAGGTTTAAAGTTAACTATGGGGCAGGGTTGGTCTATAACTTAAGAACCACGGGCCCCGGAACACCCTGTTTATAAATAACTTAATCATCAGTAATTCTTTAATCCTCACCATCATATTGGATTAGGGTTTTTATTTTTCATTCATTTTTAGTTTAGTGACTTCAGTCTCGACTCCCCCCACTTGCCACCATTTCTCGTTCTCTCTCCCACCACCCCCTCGACAGACTCGACTCCCTGAGGTTGAGGTTGAGGCTGCGAGTCTGAGAGTCTGAGATTGATAGCTTCACCTCACCATCTGAGACCGAATTTGCTCATATTTAATTATGTTTTAAACTCAATCAAGCCAGTTAAAATAAAAGAAATCTTGCTCAAATCCAACTCCACCTCAATTCGATCATTTATCGGTTTGGGTTGGGTTGATTCTTTACTCATCTATGTCAATCCAAATCCAACCTGATTTCTAGCCCGAATACTCTTATGCACACATTCCTCTTCATATTGTAGAAGCATTTAAGCAAGATGTGAAGTTTGTTGTTAGTTTTTATTTGTACAATGGATGATAATGTTGCTTTTACATTTTTTTGTTGTTGAAATTTTGATATTTCTCTTATAATTTTATTTCAAATTCGCTTGGTTGAAACATTAGAAGTGGTCGCCATACTATTTTATTTAATTTTGGGGTAGCCTATTTATACACCCATTTTTATTTTCCACACATCTTTATTAATTTTTACCATTGATCTTCTTCAATTCACTGATCCGACGGCCAAAATTTTAGAGAGTGTGAGAAGTAAAAATAAGTGTGTGAATAGCACTACCCTAACTTTTGGGTGGATGATGATATGTTTAACTAATATGTTAATTTTTTCACAAAAGTTAATGACAAAAACTAATGATGCACATTCTGTTAAATGTAGGGACGTAAATTAACAAATTTTACTTCACTGATGAATTCTAAACTCGATAGGAAGTTAAGGTACGAATTCTTAATTTTAATGAACAAATAAAAAATAAAAAGATTATTAATTAAGAGAAAAATTAATGAAATGGACTTTAAAATCTAAATTTTAACAAAAAACCATCAAATAACTTAAAAATAATTTTTTTCACCACTTGGTTTGAACACCGTGTTCCGGTCACACGGCAAAATTTTTCAATGAGAAGAGAACATGTCTTGCTGTGACGGTGCTGTCTTTGCATGGACAACTAGTTACTAACCCAAAACCCCTCCTCTCTGTTGTAGCCACCACCCTAAACCCTAAACCCTAAACCCTAAAGTGTTTTTTGCTCCAGTGCCCTGCGTCTTCGCCCTTCGTTCTTTGAAGCCCAAATCGTTTCGTATTCTTGGCGACCAGGGAATCTCTGACCTGCTGCCAAGACCCAGACCCAACGGTCCGCATCGACAGAGTCACAGAGTCATAGACCTGCACGGCTGCACCATCCACCCAGTGCACCCACACCCAGACCCAACGGTCCGCCTGCCTCCGCCTCCGACCCTCCGCGCTCCGCCGTTCCGCCGTTCGATAATCTCTCAGAGGTCTCAGCGCCTCCATCTCTTTTCGGTTTCAATTGTCTCATTTTTTATTTTTTTTCACCTTAATTTGCTTGAATTGGATTTTGCAAATCCGGGAAAGCAAGACCCCAACTTCTATGTATTTGATATGGTTACGAAATCATTAAAATTGGTATTTCTAATTTATGATCAGAAAACACAAACCTCCTTCCAAATTCTAACACGATTATTTAACTTATTATTATTATTATTATTAATTTCATGTATTACTTGGTTTTGGAGGAGACCAAACAGAAGGACAGGTTCTTTTCTTTGGAATAGATAATTAAAAATTCTTTATTTATATTATCTTGTGGACTTTGTTTTGGTATCTGATTGCCTTGTTGAAGAGGTGCCCCTTTAGGCTGTAGATTCTTTGTTTGATTGGTGGTATTTTCAGACCTATAAACATATGATTGGATTTGTTCTGATTTTAACGGGAATTCTTCGTTGCACATCTGTTTGTTTTCTGAGAAAAATGGAGAATATTGTTGTAATTCTTTAGAAAATGAGAATATGAATGTTGTACTGATTGAGAAAAGTTTGGCTGTTCTGTTCGCTATTGCCTTCCTTTGGACGCTCATAAAATACATGTGGAGCTTCTTGAGTATGAGAAGGATCCTGTGACTGTTTTGGTCACTGGTGCTGCAGGCATGCCATATATTCTCATATCGATAAACCCGTCTTGGATGTTTTCCTGAATTTGTAGCTTAATTTTGATGTCCAATTTTATTATATTGAAAGTAATTGGCATACATTATGAAAAGAATTATGCTTTTAAATGTAAAACTTGCTTAGTTCCGAATTCTTGAAAACTTGATGAGGTTCATGCTTGATGTTGAACAGGGCAATACAGTATGCTATTGTTTGGATGATTGTGAGGGGAGCAATGCTAGGCCCTGACCAGCCTGTAATTCTGCACATGCTTGATATTGGACCTACAGCTCAAGCCTTGAAGGAGGTGAAAATGGAATTGATTGATGCTGCCATCCTCTTCTCAAAGGTATGCTTCATAAAGGCACATTTTGATTGTTCACCCCGGGCACCAAAATACTCAGGACCAGCCTTGCTGAACAGTGTGGGTAGTTGATGGTATATAAGCAACACAAGCAACTCAAATTTCTAATCTTCAACTTAAATTTCATCCTTCATGACACTTGGCGCGGTTAGTTGTTCACACCGCAGAATTTGCAACTGTTATTTTCCTCCTATTTTTGTCAAATTTTCTTCATTATCTGCACTTAAAGCTACAGACTTTACTTATGAAGCAAGCAATTCCGATGACTGTAACTACCGTGAATTACAGCTCAGTATGCAATGCCATGCCTCCTCCGGTAACTTTGCGAAAGCCCTCGAGTCTTTGAACTCCATGGGCAATGTGCCCGGCAAACCCACTGTGTATGATTTCAATGCTTTGGTTTACTCTTACTTGAAGTCACAGACTGTATTGCTAGACAATGTGGTTCAGGTTTACCTCGGAATGAAGAGATTTGGGCCCGCCCCAAATGCTTCCACTTTCAATGCACTTTTGAATGGTATGCTATCACTTGGTCGTCTGAAAGATGCTTATATGATTGCTGAAGAGATGTTTGATTGTGGGTTTTTACCCTCTTTTACTTCTTTGTCGAGAATCTTGAAAAACATGCTTAGAGTTGGGAATTTAGTTAGCTCAATTGGTGTTTTTAAGCTTATGTTGAGGTTGAAGTATTTCCCGACCGAACCCAGTTTGTGTTTGTTGATTTCTAAGCTTAGTAAAGCCATGATGACCGAAGAGGCGTGGTTTGTGTGCTATGCTCTTATGTGTAAGGGTCATTTTTTCGGTGCTTATGTTTATAACCCTATGCTTTGGGCATTGTGTAAAACCGGCCAGAGTAATAATGCTTTGCAATTGTTTTATTGGATGAAGAGGAAGGGCGTTGTACACAATGTGTGCTCTTATACTGCCTTAGTTTATGGGTTTGGTAGAGAAGGTTTGTGGAGAGATCTTCTGTGTTGTTTAGATGAAATGGAGACTGATGGGTGTAAGCTTAGTGCGATAACATACACTATAGTTATTAAATCTCTTTGTGGTGATGGGAGGATTGCAGAGGCGTTAGAATATTTGGCTAAGATGGAAAGGGAAGGATGTGAACCAGATATGACCACATACAATGTGATCCTTCATGCACTTTGTATTCAAGATAGAGCGAATGACATTTTCAGCTTACTTGAGATGATTGAGAACAAAGGATTTTCTCCCAACGCATACACATATGCTGCCTTGGGAGGAGGCCTGTTAAAAACAGGTAACATTGGGATTGCTTGTGAACTACTGCTTGATGTGATTACAGAGGGCAACTATGTGGATGTTGTTGTGTACAATATATACTTCAATTGTTTGTGTCATGAGAATAGATCAGAAGAAGCGCTATATCGATTGAAGAAAATGATTGGGGAAGGTTTAATGCCAAGTAATGTGTCATATAACACAATTTTAAAGAGTTTCTGTAGAGAAAATAACCTCTCCAAGGCTTTGAAATTCTTGGACTACTTTAAGTGGGACGAAAATGGGCCTGATGTGGTTTCCTTCAATACGATTTTGTCTGTGGCATGCAAACAGAAAAAGAGTTCAGTGATCCGTAGGGTCTTGAGTCATATGAAGAATGGTGGTGTTCAGCCTAATGTTATTAGTTTGAATTGTTTAATTCAGTACTTCTGTAGAGTAAAAAACTTTTCTGAATGTCTGAAGCTCTTGGATTACATGACGTGTAGTGGTTCTAGTCCCACTATTGTCACTTTTAATCTGCTGCTAGACAGACTTTGTAAGAATGGTCTAGTTGGAATTGCAGAACGGGTTTTTAAGCAACTACGGAATACTGGATTTTTTCCTGATACAATTTCTTATAATATTCTTATTCACGCCTTCATTAAAGAGGGCAATAAGGCGATGGTTAATCAATTGGTTAGTGATATGTACAACCAGAGACTAAAACCGGATTTGTTTACCTATGGGTCCTTAATTAGTGGCCTTTGCAATGATGGAAAGGTATCTGTTGCTCTTGAGTTGAGGGATGACGTGATAGAGAATGGGCTTACTCCAAGCATAGCAATCTACAATACCTTATTGGAGGCAATGTTCAAGAGTGGTGCTTTTTCGGACATTTTATCATTATTGAAAAATCTTGTACTGGAAGGCTGTCAACCTAATGAGGTAACTTTCGAGATTCTTAGCCGACCAGTATTCAAAAGTTGGATAAAGAGATCTCCTGAGGTTTCAAATCTTGTGGAGCTTGTGCATGAATGCAAAGTTAATTGATTTAGGGTCACTGACCCAGTGTAAAGCCTTTCTCTTGGGCAAAGAAGAATTATCCCAAGAAGATTAAAATATTCAGTCAGGTACAAAGGATTCTTATCTCATATTTAGCTGCTTAGGATCTTTTATCTTGATTTTACTTTTTTTTTTCTTTCTGTTATCTATGCTTATTTTGTACAAAACATATATCACAAACTGTTTGCATTGCGATTAAAGAAATGTATCAAAAAAAAAAAGTAGAACAGAAACTGTTGTGATTTCTGTAGTGCAGATGGGTTTCATTTACATTTTCTCTTTCAGGATATTAAAGGTCATTGCTTTTGCCCATGGCATTTGCTTTAGGGTCAATTAACTTTGCTGATTATGAGTGTGCTCATGTTGGCCTTCGTTGGAGCACATATGGCGGGTATGTTCTGTATTTGGGTCATGTCCTACCAAAATTATTTTAACCTCTATCAATCTGTCAATTAAACTACATACCTACCTAAGTGTATGTTCTTTACTGCTCTGAGTATTTCCTTACCCCATAATTTTTTTTTTGTTGACTGATGCAGGAGCATGAAGTAAAAGCTGAAAACCAACAATTGATTAGTGGGGTATGTTTGTCTGTTGGTTAAATAACCATCCGCTTGTAATTTCGTTACTGATACTCATAAGATTAACATAATTGTATTAGGTTCATCCTCAGGTTTCTATTCTTTAATATTGGGCTTCTACTTTCATATGGGACTTCATCAGCTTTCTTTTTCCTTCATCAACAACAACAACAACAACAAAGCCTTTTCCCACTAAGTGGGGTCGGCTATATGAATCCTAGAACGCCATTGCGCTCGGTTTTGTGTCATGTCCTCCGTTAGATCCAAGTACTCTAAGTCTTTTCTTAGAGTCTCTTCCAAAGTTGTCCTAGGTCTTCCTCTACCCCTTCGGCCCTGAACCTCTGTCCCGTAGTCACATCTTCTAACCGGAGCGTCAGTCGGCCTTCTTTGCACATGTTCAAAATCACCGGAGCCGATTTTCTCTCATCTTTCCTACAATTTCGGCTACTCCTACTTTACCTCGGATATCCTCATTCCCAATCTTATCCTTTCTCGTGTGCCCACACATCCCACGAAGCATCCTCATCTCCGCTACACCCATTTTGTGTACGTGTTGATGCTTCACCACCCAACATTCTGTGCCATACAACATCGCTAGCCTTATTGCCGTCCTATAAAATTTTCCCTTGAGCTTCAGTGGCCTACGACGGTCACACAACACGCCGGATGCACTCTTTTCCATCCAGCTCGTATTCTATGGTTGAGATCTCCATCTAATTCTCCGTTCTCTTGCAAGATAGATCCTAGGTAGCGAAAAACGATCGCTTTTTGTGATCTTCGCTAGATTGCTGCTCCAGTCATTAGTGTGGATAAGTATATAAATGGATAGAGATAGGAAAGCAAACACAAGATGTACGTGGTTCACCCAGATTGGCTACGTCCACGGAATAGAAGAGTTCTCATTAATTGTGAAGGGTTTACACAAGTACATAGGTTCAAGCTCTCATTTAGTGAGTACAAGTGAATGATTTAGTACAAATGACATTAGGAAATATTGTGGGAGAATGATCTCGTAATCACGAAACTTCTAAGTATCGGAGTGTGGTGTCGTCTTGACTTGCCTTATCTGTCTCATAGGTAGATGTGGCATCTTCTCTGGAAGTACTCTTCCTCCATCCAGGGGTGGTATCTTTAACTGGTGGAGATGCACAAGGTAATGTATCAATTTCACTTGAAGCTTACTTGTAGTTTCAGGCTTGGTCAAGCGCGATACAAACCATGTAGTAGGAGTCCCCCAAGTCGCCGAGCTAGGGGGTCTGCTGAAAGAGGTGACAGACAAGGTAAGCAATCAGAGCTCCGACTGATTGTTCACCTTCTCCCCATCTTGCAGCAGCATGAAGGATAAAGAGAAGAAAAATGAGAAGAGATGATATGAGATACTTTTGCTTTTGAAGAAGTAACTTTCCACAGGCTTATTCTTGAACTGAGCTGGAGGGTTTTCTGGTTTCCTCCAGAGTATAAGGCCGACTGAAGAATTTGAGGGTCAAAACAAGTCCATCAAATCTAGAGTACGTTCCACCCTGCTGATATGGGATACTTTTGCTTTTGACAGAGTAATGAATGTATCGGCACGTGTGCTGTTACGCTTGTCTCCACATGCTTCCTTGTATCCTTCGCACTTGCCCTATCTGTTCCTCAAGCAGATGCGGAATCTTCCCTGGAAACATAAGATGTTGAAGATGAGTACTCGAGAGCAATGCCAGGTAAGTAATCAGGTAAGGGGTTCCAGGCAGTCAGTTCCTGGCTGGAAGCTTGATTCCAAGTGCTGACTGATTGCTCTCTTTCTCCTTGTCTTGCAGGTAAAAACAAGGCCAAAAAGAAAAGACAGGGAAAAAGCATGATATGGGATACTCTTGCTTTTAACCCTGATGATATGAGATATTCTTGCTCTAGTATAGCTTGTTTGCAGAGGTATTATCGGGGGGAAAGAAAGCTGAATATTTCGAAAGGCTTCGTTGGGAGTGCCCTCTCAGATATGATGAAGGGTTGAGCATTTTTGCAGGTCTGCCTGTCCGTTGGGGATGGAGGTCGACATATATAGGAGTCTCCCTAACAACAAGTAGTAATGCTATTCCTTTACCCTGCTTGGTCATAGCACGGTAGTGGGAGCTGCCAGTTTCACATGTTTTAACTCTGTCAGAGCACTTTGAAAAAGTGGTCTGTGGTATCTGGCTCTCGAGATTCGGAGAACGATGCCTCTTCGATTTTTTGAGAAAGCAATCATGCTGGGGGTCTGGACTCTCGAGATTCGGAGAGCAGTGTCTCTTCGATTTTTGAGGAAGTAATCATGTTGGGAGTCTGGCTCTCGAGATTCGGAGGGCGGTGCCTCTTCGATTTTGGAGCAAGCAATCTTGTTGGGAGTGTTGTCTCGAATGTGAGTAAAGGTTGGGCATGTTTGCTAGTCTACCTTGCCACGAAGCACAAAGGTTGACACACAGGGACTTTCCAATTATCCAGCAATGGTACTGTTCCTTTACCCTCTCTTCGATTTTGAGAAAGTAGTCATGTTGGGAGTCTGGCTCTCGAGATTCGGAGGACGGTGCCTCTTCGATTTTGGAGCAAGCAATCTTATTGGGAGTGTTTTCTCGAATGTGAGTAAAGGTTGGGCATGTTTGCTAGTCTACCTTGCCACGAAGCACAGAGGTTGACACACAGGGACTTTCCAATTATCCAGCAGTGGTACTGTTCCTTTACAGTTGTGGGTAATAATATGGTAGCTAGACCTTCAAAATTTATGTGTCTAAACTTTTGTTAGTGCTGTTTCTTTGCTATTCTTTTACCTTTCTTGGTCAGAGCGATGTAGTGGGAGCTGCAAGCTTCACGTGCTCAACTTTGGCAGAGAACTTTGGCAAAGTTATTTGTGGTACCCATGAGCTATTGTTGCGTGTGGGAAGTGGGTGATTGAACAGTAAGATTCATGTGCTTTCTACTTCACCAGAAGTCTTCGACAGAATGCCCATAATTTCTGCAAAGCTGAGTGTGCGTGTGACAGGTGCTGACAAGGCTAGAAAAGTAGGTGCCTCTTCGATTTCTGAGATCGGCCCTCGTGGTCTCTGAGCAGCCCAGCTTTTGAGAAAGCGAGCGCGCCTCTTCGATTGATTCGGAGAACGATGCCTCATCGATTTTTGAGAAAGCAATCATGCTGGGGGTCTGGCTCTCGAGATTCGGGGAGCAGTGTCTCTTCGATTTTTGAGAAAGTAATCATGTTGGGAGTCTGGCTCTCGAGATTCGGAGGGCGGTGCCTCTTCGATTTTGGAGCAAGCAATCTTGTTGGGAGTGTTTTCTCGAATGTGAGTAAAGGTTGGGCATGTTTGCTAGTCTACCTTGCCACGAAGCACAGAGGTTGACACACAGGGACTTTCCAATTATCCAGCAATGGTACTGTTCCTTTACCCTCTCTTCGATTTTTAAGAAAGTAGTCATGTTGGGAGTCTGGCTCTCGAGATTCGGAGGACGGTGCCTCTTCGATTTTGGAGCAAGCAATCTTATTGGGAGTGTTTTCTCGAATGTGAGTAAAGGTTGGGCATGTTTGCTAGTCTACCTTGCCACGAAGCACAGAGGTTGACACACAGGGACTTTCCAATTATCCAGCAGTGGTACTGTTCCTTTACCCTTGTGGGTAATAATATGGTAGCTAGACCTTCAAAATTTATGGGTCTAAACTTTGTTAGTGCTGTTTCTTTGCTATTCTTTTACCCTTCTTGGTCAGAGCGATGTAGTGGGAGCTGCAAGCTTCACGTGCTCAACTTTGGCAGAGAACTTTGGCAAAGTTATCTGTGGTACCCATGAGCTATTGTTGCGTGTGGGAAGTGGGTGATTGAACAGTAAGATTCATGTGTTTTCTACTTCCCCAGAAGTCTTTGACAGAATGCCCATAATTTCCGCAAAAGCTGAGTGTGCGTGTGACAGGTGCTGACAAGGCTGGAAAAGGTTGGAAAAGTAGGTGCCTCTTCGATTTCTGAGATCGGCCCTCGTGGTCTCTAGGGAGCCCAGCTTTTGAGAAAGCGAGCGCCTCTTCGATTTTTGAGATCGGCCTTCGTGGTCTTTGAGCAGCCCAACTTTTGAGAAAGCAAACGCCTCTTCGATTTCTGAGATCAACCCTCGTGATCTCTAAGCAGCCCAGCTTTTGAGAAAGCAAACGCCTCTTCGATTTCTGAGCAGGCGCCTCTTCGATTTCTGAAGCTCCGTCGAGTGCAGATTTTTTATAGGGGCTGGCATTAAGTTCCAAAGCACACTTGAATCTCCACCAGTAGAAGCTTCATTCTTGCACTTCTAAGATCTTGATTTGTCCGACCTCTTCTCTCTTCAACACCTTTGAAAATGTCTGGCCCCTCCGACCGTCGTTTTGACTTGAACCTTGTTGAAGAGGCAGCCCCGCCTTCTCCAGACAACATATGGCGCCCATCCTTCGTCTCCCCTACTGGTCCTCTTACCGTTGGGGATTCCGTGATGAAGAATGATATGACCGCTGCGGTGGTGGCCAGGAACCTTCTCACTCCCAAAGATAACAGACTACTTTCCAAACGGTCTGATGAGTTAGCTGTTAAGGATTCGCTGGCTCTCAGTGTTCAGTGTGCAGGTTCTGTGTCTAATATGGCCCAACGCCTATTTGCTCGAACCCGCCAAGTTGAATCATTGGCGGCTGAAGTGATGAGTCTCAAACAGGAGATTAGAGGGCTCAAGCATGAGAATAAACAGTTGCACCGGCTCGCACATGACTATGCTACAAACATGAAGAGGAAGCTTGACCAGATGAAGGAAACTGATGGTCAGGTTTTACTTGATCATCAGAGATTTGTGGGTTTGTTCCAAAGGCATTTATTGCCTTCGTCTTCTGGGGCTGTACCGCGTAATGAAGCTCCAAATGATCAACCTCTGATGCCTCCTCCTTCTAGGGTTCTGTCCAGTACTGAGGCTCCAAATGATCCCCCTCCGGTGCCTTCTCTCTTTCTGGGGCTCTACCGACTGCTGAGACTTCTCCTAAGCAACCTTTGTGAAGGCTCCCTCTTGTGTGTTTATTTTGACTCATGTATATGTACATATTTGTAGCTTATCGGGGATATCAATAAATAAGCTTTCCTTCATTTCAACGTATTGTGTTAAATACACCAAAGCCTTCTTCGCTAAGTTCTTTGAATTTTCTTTTGTTGAAGCTTGTATGTTGAAGCTTTCTGAGTGGAGCATGTAGGTTGGGGTAGTGTTCCCTTAATTTCCCGAGTGAGGAAAACTTCTCGGTTGGAGACTTGGAAAATCCAAGTCACTGAGTGGGATCGGCTATATGAATCTTAGAACGCCATTGTGCTCGATCCTGTGTCATGTCCTTCGTTAGATCCAAGTACTCTAAGTCTTTTCTTAGAGTCTCTTCCAAAGTTTTCCTAGGTCTTCCTCTACCCCTTCGGCCCTGAACCTCTGTCCCATAGTCGCATCTTCTAATCGGAGCGTCAGTAGGCCTTCTTTGCACATGTCCAAACCACCGTAACCGATTTTCTCTCATCTTTCCTTCAATTTCGGCTACTCCTACTTTACCCCGGATATCCTCATTCCTAATCTTATCCTTTCTCGTGTGCCCACACATCCAACGAAGCATCCTCATCTCCGCTACACCCATTTTGTGTACGTGTTGATGTTTCACCGCCCAACATTCTGTGCCATACAGCATCGCCGGCCTTATTGCCGTCCTATAAAATTTTCCCTTGAGCTTCAGTGGCATACGGCGGTCACACAACACGCCGGATGCACTCTTCCACTTCATCCATCCAGCTTGTATTCTATGGTTGAGATCTCCATCTAATTCTCCGTTCTTTTGCAAGATAGATCCTAGGTAACGAAAACGGTCGCTCTTTGGTATTTCTTGATCTCCGATCCTCACCCCTAACTCGTTTTGGCCTCCATTTGCACTGAACTTGCACTCCATATATTCTGTCTTTGATCGGCTTAGGCGAAGACCTTTAGATTCCAACACTTCTCTCCAAAGGTTAAGCTTTGCATTTACCCCTTCCTGAGTTTCATCTATCAACACTATATCGTCTGCGAAAAGCATACACCAAGGAATATCATCTTGAATATGTCCTGTTAACTCATCCATTACCAACGCAAAAAGGTAAGGACTTAAGGATGAGCCTTGATGTAATCCTACAGTTATGGGAAAGCTTTCGGTTTGTCCTTCATGAGTTCTTACGGCAGTCTTTGCTCCTTCATACATATCCTTTATAGCTTGGATATATGCTACTCGTACTCCTTTCTTCTCTAAAATCCTCCAAAGAATGTCTCTTGGGACCCTATCATACGCTTTTTCCAAATCTATAAAGACCATGTGTAAATCCTTTTTCCCATCTCTATATCTTTCCATCAATCTTCGTAAGAGATAGATTGCCTCCATGGTTGAGCGCCCTGGCATGAACCCGAATTGGTTGTCCGAAACCCGTGTCTCTTGCCTCAATCTATGCTCAATGACTCTCTCCCAGAGCTTCATTGTATGACTCATTAGCTTAATACCCCTATAGTTCATGCAATTTTGTACGTCGCCCTTATTCTTGTAGATAGGCACCAAAGTGCTCGTTCGCCACTCATTTGGCATCTTCTTCGTTTTCAAAATCCTATTGAAAAGGTCAGTGAGCCATGTTATACCTGTCTCTCCCAAAAGTTTCCACACTTCGATTGGTATATCGTCTGGGCCTATTGCTTTTTTATGCTTCATCTTCTTCAAAGCTACAACCACTTCTTCCTTCCGGATTCGACGATAAAAAGGAGTAGTTTCTACACTCTTCTGAGTTACTCAACTCCCCTAAAGAAGCACTCATTTCATGTCCTTCATTGAAAAGATTATGAAAATAACCTCTCCATCTGTCTTTAACCGCGTTCTCTGTAGCAAGAACCTTTCCATCCTCATCCTTGATGCACCTCACTTGGTTTAGGTCCCTTGTCTTCTTTTCCCTTGCTCTAGATAGTTTATAGATATCCAACTCTCCTTCTTTGGTATCTAGTCGTTTATACATATCGTCGTAAGCCGCTAACTTAGCTTCTCTGACAGCTTTCTTCGCCTCTTGCTTCGCTTTTCTATACCTTTCACCATTTTCATCAGTCCTCTCCTTGTATAAGGCTTTACAACATTCCTTCTTAGCCTTCACCTTTGTTTGTACCTCCTCATTCCACCACCACCAAGATTCCTTTTGGTGTGGGGCAAAGCCCTTGGACTCTCCTAATACCTCTTTTGCTACTTTTCGGATACAACTAGCCATGGAATCCCACATTTGGCTAGCTTCCCCCTCTCTATCCCACACACATTGGGTGATTACCTTCTCTTTGAAAATTGGCTTGTTTTTCTTCTTTAGATTCCACCATCTAGTCCTTGGGCACTTCCAAGTCTTGTTCTTTTGTCTTACTCTTTTGATATGTACATCCATCACCAACAAGCGATGTTGATTAGCCACGCTCTCTCCTGGTATAACTTTGCAATCCTTACAAGTTATACGATCCCCTTTCCTCATTAGAAGAAAATCTATTTGTGTTTTTGACGACCCACTCTTGTAGGTGATCACATGTTCTTCTCTCTTCTTAAAGAAGGTGTTGGCTAAGAAGAGATCATATGCCATTGCAAAATCCAAGATAGCTTCCCCATCCTCATTTTCTCTCCCCAAAACCATGGCCACCATGAAAACCTCCATAGTTGCCTGTCTCCCTGCCCACGTGTCCATTTAAATCTCCTCCTATAAATAACTTCTCCGTCTGAGCAATTCCTTGCACCAAGTCTCCAAGATCTTCCCAAAATTTCTCCTTCGAACTCGTATCCAACCCTACTTGAGGTGCGTACGCACTAATCACATTGATAAGTTCTTGTCCTATTACAATCTTGATTGCCATGATTCTATCTCCTACCCTCTTGACATCTACAACATCTTGTACCAAGGTCTTGTCCACGATGATGCCAACACCGTTTCTCGTTCTATTTGTGCCCGAATACCAAAGTTTAAACCCTGAGTTTTCTAGATCCTTTGCCTTACTACCAACCCACTTAGTTTCTTGTAGGCACATAATATTTATCCTTCTCCTCACCATAACTTCCACTACTTCCATAGATTTTCCCGTTAAGGTTCCTATATTCCACGTTCCTAAACGCATTTTGCTCTCTTGAACTCTACCCTTCTGTCCTAGCTTCTTCACCCTCCCCCGTCTAATAGGATCAAAGTACTTCTTTTGTGTGTCCCGGGTAAAGTTGATAGGAGCATATGCTCCCAAACAACTTTGAGTGGAGTCGTTCGAAAAGAAGTTTCTATGGCCCCCTTGCTCATTTAACACTGCATCCGGGTGCCGATGGAGATACAGCGACCCTTGCTCACTTATCACTGTGCTCAGGCCACACAGCGCGCCACTTACGGGTGACGCCCTAGTTTTAGCGCGATTTTGTTCTGGATTCATTTTCATAAGGATTCGACGTGATCATGGAGTGCCGGCTGTCGACTACCTGACGCCCTCCCCCTCCTCCTTTATCCGGGCTTGGGACCGGCCATGTAAGACATAGGCGGAGTTTTCTTTTTCCTTCATCATTAGCAATAATTCCTTTTTACATCTTTGGTATGTCTTTAAACATGTAGTTCTTCACACTTTTTTCTTGTCCGAATTTGAGCTTCCAACTTCAGTTCATCACTGGTTCTTTTTTTTTTTTTTTTTTTTGTAAAATAATTTGTGGGAACGTCATCATTTCTTTTGGTCAAATCTGAAAATTAGTAGGATTCAAAATGTTTATGTGCATTTTTTTTTTTGGTTAATGTCTGCGGATATAGGAGAATATTTCGACACTGGAAATTGTACTATGAGGTGGATAACATAAACATATTCTACACGATGGGTAGACACCAACCAAGGGCATTAAGCTCCACAGTTACTCTATTTTTTCTTGAGTTCCATCAAACATCGAAAAATTCTTCAGGTTTACTTATTTTACGAGAAGACTGTATGTAGGTCTGGAGCTGTTCATTGGAAGTGGATTGTCGACTCGACAGTCATCATGTTTTTAACGTATGGATTAGCAATTCCTCAGGTGGTGTATTTTCTATTTGTCATTCTCTTATTCTCACATTCACGGCATTAACCTTGCAACTTTTGGTTATTAATGTTGTACTTGTATGCTTATTCATATCCAGAATGTGGTTCTCTTTGTCCACTTCTTACGGGACTCATTCGTATGGTTATCTCATTCATCATGGGGCTTATAAAGACAACAGCAAGTGCAAATTCTTTTCTTAAGGTTTTATTCCTACATGCATATAACTTATCTTTTATTAATAGTCCTCTTACTACTACTACTACTACTTCTTCTAGTACTTCAATACTTTGGTTTATATCTTACTAATCCGTCTAACTTTTCTTATGAAGTTTTGGTTTTTGTGGAAAATATATGTATATATGTAGGGCACACTCTGCATTGACTTTGAACTATCCAAACCGTCTTTCTTTTAAGCCATTCCTCAAAGATCATCTCTACCAACAAAAAAACTTAAATTGAAATTTTTATGACCATTTGTTTAAAAGGTGGTGTATTTCTTGGAAGCACCATTTAAATATATTTTTTTTGTCACAATTAGATGCCTTAACGGCTCTAAATTTAGATTAATCTTTGTGAGGATAGCCTTTGAATGAAGACTTAAAAAATATGGTTTGGATTGGTAAGATATAATGTGGAGTGGGTCCCACAAGGTGTTCTTCAAATAAGATTGTACGTGTCAGCGCCATGTGGCATGAGAGAACTTGTCTATAAATAAATTTTTTTAATTTTTTAATAATAAGAATATACTTTAGTTGAGAGGGGGGGGGGGGGGAGAATACCACTCTTGGAATTTGTGATTAGTAGGTAAATGTTGGCTTTATTTTGAAGGAAGTTTAGTGAGTCTTTTTAAAATTTACTTTCAGGATGTTGATTCATTTGGAAAAGTAGGACTAATTGAATTTGTACTCGATCTTACTATTGTTTCCAAATTTTTCTGTTTTAATTCGTAATTTGGTAGCATTGTGTTGGTGTGAACCATCTAATATAATAGAAGCAGTAAGTCTAGAATTTTTTATCAACTATGGGGGGATGTTCTAGAAATTTTAGCTTGCCCCTTAGTGAATGTCATGATTCAAAACTGGCTGCTGATGACGTGTCGAGAATAGCAATCTTCCCTAACATTTAGATCTATGCTTCCAGAGCTTTTTCAGATTATCTCCAGGCTTTTGCTTTGCTGATGGACTTGCGTCACTGGCTCTTCTACAGCAAGATATGAAAGATAAATCCAGCAATCAGGCCTTTGGTTGGAATGTTACCGGTGGCTCAATTTGTTACCTTGGTATTGAGGTACATATCTTGGCCTTATGCAGGAAATCTTCTGCAACCGTCTGCTGAAAAAGTTATTTCTTGAGAAGTGGAAGTTTCAATGAATATATAATGGTAACAAGGAATAACCATTCTTAGAGTATTGGCTTGCTCAAGTGTTGACCACTTCAATATTTACATGTCAGCAAGACGAAACCCTACAGTTAAAACTTTACAGAGTCACCTGTTTCTTTCATTGTGTCAAAAGGTAAGCTAGATATTGGAGCAACACGTGTTGTTTATGTATAAGATTATGTTACTCACATCCTAACAGCTTGAGCTATTGGGATATGTTGGTAGTATAACCTAGGATCAGACATCGGGGTCCTAGATATCCTGGATCGGAACCTCCCACTACAAACTATATGAAAGTAGGAGATCTTGGGTATGAATTCTTGTGGTTGCAGCCTTCCATACAAATTGAACTTGATTTTTAATTTTTTGTTTTTTTTTTAACTTGTTCATTTCTTATTACACTAGTGTTTATGAGAAAGTGGTACAAGGTTGGCAATTACATTTAGCATGTGCCGTGCGTGCATTGTAATCAACTGAAAATTTAGAGCAAGAAGTGTAACACCTTGTGTCTTGGTTTGCTATTTGTTACATGTTTAAATACATTATTGAAAATCTAACTGTAATTCGCATGGAAAATATGGTTTATTATGATCTGATTCAAAGTCTCGCCTGTGGCAGAGCATTTGTTACTTCCTTTTGACACTTGGGCTTGAACTCTTACTTTCTAACAAGTGGACACTACCCACACTGAAGGAATGTTGGAACAGCATTGGAAGTATCAAACATGGCACTCCAAGTTATCTAGAATCCCTTCTGAAGATTTCCTCAGATGTTGTTACTCTTGACCTTGATGAAGATAAAGACAGAAAGAACTAGGGTTCTTTCAGGTTCCATTGACAATGCCATAATCTATTTTCGGAATCTTTGGAAGGTATTTCTATTATGGTTTAAATGATATTGGTGGTTCTCAAAAATGTTGTCCACAGTTGCACATTGCCTACTTTTGTTATTTCGTTTTCACTGTTTTCATTTCATAGAAAAGTAGACATTCTCAAATCTTGAAAACGCAAGATTCAGTTTCTTCTATTTTGTTTTGCAAAGCAGTCCTCTTGAAAGCCGTACGATAAAATGCATGGAGGTTGGACCATAATCCATCTCATATTCTCACTCTTGGCCCTGAATTCTTGATTTCTGGTCAGGGTGGGGCAAGCTACGTCTCTTTTGGAGTGTTTTAGATTCCCAGGTCAAATACCTTTTCTTTGGGGGCTATGCAAGCCTCTCTACTTAACGATGGGCAGTAGGATACATGTGAATCGGGTATCTCTGGGATTCACCTGTGGCTATAATAAGATTAATAATGTGTGTATTTTAAGTATGGATAGCAACTAGTAATTTATCTCAACTTTTTTTGCAGTTGCCATATGGACAGGGCCTCTCGCTTGCAGATGTCCTCGGGCACCTTGAACGGAACAGGTGAATTTCGTCATACCTTTTCTGTCTGTTCATATTTTTTCACGCTCAATCTGACCAGTGCTGTTTATAATTTCTCTTTTCCAGAAGTAAACTTGGCATTGCAGAATACAGTATTAGCCAGTCCACTCTCGAAACCATCTTCAACCATTTTGCAGCTAACTCGTGACATGTTAATCGTGGATTGAGGCAAATCTAATTCAAATAGTTTGGCAGTAGTCGGCAAATCACCACCAGGCATAAGCGTCGCCCCCGCTTTCAAGGTTGAGACCATCATAAGACGGTTTGTAAATCTCAGAAACAGTATATTCAAGTACATAATTTCAAACTTGGGTGAAATGTAATCTGTTACGAAATTACAGATTGAGAGTTATACCCATCATATTGTTACCATTCTATTAGTCGTCGAATGGAAAAACAAGGATTTTAAAGCTGAATAGAAAAACAGTCGGAAAACGGCAACTCCTTTGCAATTTCCGGTTAGTGTTACGCACGTCCTACGTAAAAGGTAAAAATAAAACTGCACCGTTCGAGTAAGCTTTAGCTGCCATGGCCCCGAAATCAGCCCATGCATTTGATCAACCAACAGAGTATGATTAATGAAAACAAAATGGGATTAACGATGACTCGAGAGATGTGCGTTTGTTTGCATTATTTTGATTGTAAGAAGCCAGATTTATATGCAGCTTTCACACGCATTCGAACAAAAACAGTGTCTGTTGGCCGCCTCCAACAATGATATGCCTATTCTCTCTTTCTCTCGAGTCGGCATCGAGATCTAAAGCAACACTTGTGCAATACATGTTGAACTTAGTTCAGACTCCGTCAAATTTTGACACCACCGTGTTATCAATTTAAAAACTTCTTGTTCCATAAGAATACCTAAATAGTTTCCGACCATAAACTAAGTGGCGTGTTGTGAAATTAAGATTTAGGGGGTCTTCAAATCTAATTTCTAAAGTGGTGGATTTTATAAGATTTGTTGAATCCATACCTCGTATATGGATTTTGAAGTTTGGTATAGACTTTTGTTTATAGATTTTAGTGAATTTTCGTAGGGGTGGTTTGGTATGGGATTCTGAATTCCAAACCAAAATTTTTCGGGATGGGAATTTGAAGATCAATCCTGAGCTAAAATTTCGATATTCCCAATTTTCGAGATTCCTGAAATATTTTCGGTATTTTGGGATGGATCGGGATTGCGTTTGGGGTTTTAGGCTTTTGGTCATAAATTTGAGATTTTTGGGTTGTGGACTAAAATTTGGGACTTCGGCTTACAATTTTGTTGCCCAATTTCATATCAATTGAACGTTAGGTTTTTTACCTATTACTAATTTGAAATTTCTTACCAATTGAAATAGCAAATCATTCTTACCAAGTCAAATTGACGTTCCAAAGTTTCAAACTACTTAATTTCATACTTCTAGTATACTCTCAAATTACTTAAATTCAATATTCAACATGCATGCAACCAAAATAAATATACATATATATTTTCAGTTTGTTCGGGATTCCCGAACAATTGAATATGCAATCCTAATCCTATACCAAAAGGTTTGGGATCGGTTCGGTATGTATTCCAAAATTTTCAGTATTATCGGTTTGGGAATTTTTCGGTATGGGATCGGGATTTTTTTTGTTTGGTTTGGGATTTTTGGGAAAAATTTCCAAACCTAAATTTTCATATACATTATTTTCAGTGTGACTTATCTAGGTAATTTTTTTTAATTTTTTTTTCTTTTTTCTGAACAAACCATATTATTTACACTAAGGGGAAGGGGTTGGGGTTAGTCTCACAATGGGTCAGTAATAATGTGGTTCAAATTTATCTTTAGCGAGAATCGAATTTAAGACCTTTCACTTATAAATGAAGAGGAATACCACTAGATCTTAGTAGTAAGTGACAAGTTTTAAAAAATATTAAAACACAAAGAAAAACATTTTCTCATCGGCACCCTTGGTACCCCGTTGCCACCATATCCCCATCCTCCGCCCCGTTCACACCATCACCTCCCCAGCCTCTACCTCTGCGCGCATGTCTACTTGAGAAAATATGATTTCGTAGAAAATCCTTCAGCTATCAGGTTAAAGACTATATGATTATGATTAGTAAAACGAAAATGAATATCATAGACGATTGGAGGAGAAAATTGGCGATGAAATTTAAAATACGAAGTGGTAATACTTTAGAGTAATGGTAGCCTTATGGCCTAGGTAAATTGATAATTAATCTTGCCTCAAAAATGAAAAAAACTTACACTATGTTTGGATTAAACAATTTAAGATTACTATGGAATTTTAAAATGGCGGAAATTGAAATGACGGGATTTTATTTTCTAGAATTTGTGAATTTTCTTGATTGGTTAATCTAAAGGAATAATGGAATTGAATTCAGAATTTGTTATTTTTAAACTCTCAATCATAGAAATTGGAAAATGACACATATTTATATGGAATTTAAACTTGAGAATTGGAGGTCCCAAATTCCAAGTTGTTTTTCCACGTGGAAATTCTAAATTTCTACGTTTATGAATCCAAACAAGGGAATAGGTGCATATCAATTATAAATTCTGATTTTAATTTAAATTCCAAGTTTATTTTCATCATCCAAACATATAGTCAAACAAAATTTATCTAGTTAAATTGAAGTCTAGGCATCTTGTGAGACAAACTAACCTCAGCCTAAACCTTCGGCAATGTAGAATCCACTTAATAGTTAGAATTAGGGGTGGTTCGGTATGGGATCCCATACTGAAACCCTTGTCCCAATTCCCAAACCAAAATTTTCGGGAATCCCAATTTCAATACCGATCCCAAACCAAATTTTCGGGAATCCCAATTTTTGGGAATCCCGAAATAGTTTCGGGATTTCGGGACAAATCGGGAATCCCGAAATGGTTTTGGGCTTTTGGGCTTTTGGACTAAAATTTGACATATTATGCTTTTGAGCTCAATTTGCCAATTTGTTTCTACTAATCTGCCAATCAAATGGCAAGGCTTTGTACTAATTTGTGCACAAATTTGAGTCCGTGTACACCAGTAAGTAAAAATGGATTTAATAATGGATGGAAGGAAAAATAAAGTCTCTGCACACCAGTAAGTACAATTGTAGCATAAAAAATAATACGCCAGCTTAAATTTCTATATAGCACATGAATCTTTCATCTCAATGCATATGTGAACCATCCAGATGAAGAATTATTAAGGAGGGGCAAGGTATCAAATAATCAAATAATCAAATTTATATTCAATGGTTGAGATTAAATCTCAACAGAATCCGACAGCTATTAAAAATCTAAATATATATTTAAAAATTAAACAATATATATATATATATATATATATTTTTTTTTTGGTTCGGTTTGGGAATACCGAAATCCCAAAAACTTGAGACCAATTCCCGTACCGAAATTTCGGGATTGGTTCGGTATTGGGTACCGAAATTTTCGGGAATTTCGGTTTGGGATTTTTTCGGTTTGGTTTCGGGAATTTTTTGGTTCGGTTTGGGATTTTTGGGATTTTTTTCCAGCCCTAGTTAGAATCCTAAAAAAAAATAATAGGCTATATCATCGTATTGAGGAGCAAGATTTTACCTCTAGCCTCCAGCTCTTCTCTAACACATTTGATATGCGTCTCTTCCGTTGGATGAGTTCTGTATTTCTATTGAATTGAAGATTTGGGAGATGGGTTTGATTTTTTTGTGCCATTAATTTGATTGTAAAAACGTTACCTTTCGGATTGCACTCATTAGTCATCTCTCTCTCTCTCTCTCTCTCTCTCTCAACTATACAAATACTTACAAATCCATATAAAAGTTGTGCATTCTACAAATTCTATTAAAATCTACCACTGTTTATTAATCTTCAAAAGTAAAGATCCAAAGCTTTGTAATTGAAATAAATAAATAAGTTGGCCAATAATCTTAGTCATTGCGCGCGCGCACACATACACACTCTCTTTCTCTCTCTAAACTGTACAAATACTTACAAATCCATACCAAAGTAGTGGATTCTACAATTTCTATTAAAATCTACCACTGTTTATTAATCTTCAAAAGGCTAAATAGCCAAAATTGTCTCTGAGATTTGCATAACTCATCACTTTGGTCCTGTAGACATCGAAATTTCGGTAAATAAATGTTGACCGATAAATCAAAGTTTCAACGCTCATGTATTACATAAATTTTACACGTAGCGTATGTCTAAACAAAAAATCGAAATAAGTTGGAAAAGTCATCAAACATGACACATGTCAACACCTAGCAGAAACGACTTATTTCATCTGGAATATTATATTCAAAATTAGGCTTTGGAAAATTCTATAAATAGAAGCCAATTTCATTCATTTAGGGAGAACCAAAATCATTAGGCAAAATTCTTGAAGCTCTGAAGCTCTGAAACTCCGAAGCTTTCAAGCATCCAAGTTCCCGAAGAATCAAGAAAGCTCTCTTCGTTCTTCGTTCATCGTTCATCCTAAGATCAAGCCCAAACGGCCCTTTGGATCAACAATCATCCACCAATTCAAGATCAAGCCCCGACGGCCCTTGAAGAAAGTGTTCTTCGTTCTTCGTTCATCGTTCTTCCAAGATCAAGCCCCGACGGCCCTTGGATCAACAAGCCACCGTTCTTCAAGATCAAGCCCAAAAGCCCTTGAAGATCCGTTCATCACTGTTCTTCAAGATCAAGCCCAAAAGCCCTTGAAGATCCGCTCATCACCATTATTCAAGATCAAGCCTCAAACGGCCCTTGAAGAAACACTCATCCTCAAGATCAAGCCCCAACGGCTCCTTGAAGATCCGCTCAAATCCACTTTCAAAGATCAAGACCACGGCCCTTAAAGAACGTTCATCCAAGATCAAGCCTCGACGACCCTTGGATCAATCACACATCCACAAATACACACCTTACGAAGATCGAATCAGAGGATCAAATTTGATAGAGATTGTAACCCAAAATCATCAAAATACAAATATTTTGTTTGTGCACGTTGTTCTTGTCGCTTTCGTTTCAGGAAATTTTCGTGTTCACAAATTGGCACGCCCAGTGGGACCATCTCTACCTCTCATCTCTTTCTCTGTTCAAGAAATTCGAGCACACTTCCAAAATTAATGGCATCAAGGAAGGCTCAAACTGTTCCCGCAACTAGCGCAAAGAATAAGAGCGTCCTCGTCGCAAGTGGTGTCACTTTAGGCATCACGACTCGAAGCAAGGCAAGAGCTACTTCCGCCGCCTCTTTCACCTTTGCATTAACTCTGCCAAGGGAAAAAGAGCACCCAAGGCATGAGCCTTTGATCACCTTAGCCTCACCAAGGGCACCATGGGGCGAAAGTCCAAGGAAATACTCCGAATCCATGCTCTCCGATGCCGATTCGAGCGGCAGTTCAGCCATGCAAGTCATGACCATTGGAGCAACTTCAATCGATGAGCAGCTGGCTCAAATGAATGAAGCAATCGCAAGGCTAACCCGAACTGTG